ATATTTAATAAGGACACAGAATGCTGAGACTGGAAAATTATGATTATAGGAAATAAACAAAATTAAAATATTTCAAGTAAAATAAAATAAAAACCTTCATCAGCATGAAAAAACTAAAATTCAGTTGAAAATGGTACACAGATATTCACAACAGGCAACATCAAGCACGTTCTCTTACATAATTAACCAGATTTAAAAAGATTTCAGCCATATAATAAAAGTTATAATTTTACACAATAATTTAAGGCACCATCAAATGTATCACATGCTTAGTTTTTCGTGGTTGTGGTTGAGTGTCAAGACAGTTGCCTGCAGATCTGAAGGTCCTGGATTCAGGTCCGGATGGAGCTGCACCTTTTTTTTCTCTTAAAAAACGATCATGGCTCCCAGGTGAACCCTGCGATAAAAAGGTACCAGGTATAAAATCGTGGGAAGTAAGGGCGGGCAGCGTAATGTTGACCACATCCCATACAGTGCCGATTGTTCTATAAAATATAGGTCTAGCAGTGTTTCCCAAAACGGACAGGGCCCTTTACTTTATTTGACTAGTTTTCACGAAATTTATAACAAGTCGTTACTGGCAGTCTACTCTCTGAATGAGTATAAAGCATTTGAACTTCGCAGTAAACCTCCATCACCTGAATCTACACACCTGTTGTAGATGCAGGACTATAAGGTGATGAATGAGCCGACCAGCTGGCAAGTAATGTACTAATGCATACAGGAAAAAGCATGGGCAGAGCTGATATCATCAACACTAAATAGACTTGGCTGGCAGACAATGATAACACGTTGCTTAGTAAAGGACGTCTATGCAATCTCCAAAGTCAAGACAGGAGACACTATAATCAGCTTCTCATGAGAACAGTGAGTAGAGGTACCTTGGCATTGCTTCTGCATTGGAGGGACTGAGTACGCAAGGGGATGCCCAGTATGCAGTGATATTGACTGTGATAACATAACTTAACCATGACAAGAATCTAATGTGTTTTTACAAGAAAATGAGTATTCTTTCAGTTTGTAATATTTCTGGCGTATTCTTATCAAATTGGTTCATATTTACATGACTAGTAACCTCCAATACACAACTGAAGTATGTGAAATGTGATTTACATGCATTTCAAACACACTTGTAACTAGTGTGGTATTTTGGCCTCCTTCCACACAGCTGTATTCAGTGTGTTATTTCTGGCCTCTTCACACACAGCTGTAATCAGTGTGTTATTTCTGACCTCTTCCCACACAGCTGTAATCAGTGTAGTATTTCTGGCCTCTTCCCACACAGCTGTAATCAGTGTGTTATTTCTGGCCTCTTCACACACAGCTGTAATCAGTGTGTTATTTCTGACCTCTTCCCACACAGCTGTAATCAGTGTAGTATTTCTGGCCTCTTCCCACACAGCTGTAATCAGTGTGTTATTTCAATCCTCTTCACACACAGTTGTAATCACTGTGTTTTTTTCTGGCCTCTTCCCAGACAGCTGTAATCAGTGTGTTATTTCTGGCCTCTTCCCACACAGCTGTAATCAGTGTGTTATTTCTGGCCTCTTCACACACAGCTGTAATCAGTGTGGTATTTCTGGCCTCTTCCCACACAGCTGTATTCAGTGTGGTATTTCTGGCCTCTTGCCACACAGTTGTAATCAGTGTGTTATTTCTGGCCTTTTCGGACACAGTTGTAATCAGTGTGGTATTTCTGGCCTCTTCACACACAGTTGCAAAATCAGTGTGTTATTTCTGGCCTTTTCCCATACAGTTGTATTCAGTGTGTTATTTCTGGCCTTTTCCCGCACAGCTGTAATCAGTGTGGTATTTCTGCCCTCTCCCATACAGTTGTAATCTCCCAGACAGCTGGAAATAATGTAGCATTCCTAGTATCTCTAACTTATCTGTAACTTTTATATTAACTCTTTGAGTCCCAAGAAACGCATCATATGTTCATAGGTTCCTAACTAGAATCCCAATGAACGCATGATGCGCTGATTTATTACGTTCTTTACTACCCCCTGGGCCTGTGATGCTAAACCCCCTGGGACTCAAAGAGTTAAACAAAGTCTCGTTCACACACTTATAACGTGCATATGTTCAGCCTCTTCCCACACACTTTAAATAGTTATACCCTTAGCTTCTCCAACATAATTGTACTACCTCACCTTTCCCACACTGCGTAAATGAGGAGGAGGAAGAAGAAAAAGAAAAGGAGAAGGAAGAAGAAATAGAATGGGGGAAGAGGAAGCAAGAATAGCAGGAGGAAGTAGAGGAGGAAACAGAAATAAAGAGTAATAAGAAAAGGAGGAGAGGAAGAAAGAAAGAACAAGAAGAAATGTAGGAGCAGGAAGAGAACAAAACTAGAAGAAAACACTCTTACTCCTTCTGCTCTCTAAAAGTATAACTACTATTTACAGAATATTTGTCCCACTCTTGTAAACACATATAGAAAACATATGAAAATAAAAGTTACTGACTGAAACTAAACTAAACTAGAAAACAAAAACACACACAATATAACATTACAGACAAGGATGATATGGCCCCCTTAGTTGTAAAAATAACAGCAAACTGAACCAGACTTGTAAACCTCTACATATATGTATGGTATTTAACCGTTTTTGTCTTAAGAAGCTGTAAAACCGATACTTCTAGTTGGTCCAGATCTCCGTAAATATCAATCTTCCAGCTTGTCTATAGTAATCTGTTTATGAGATGCAGTAAATGCTGTTGGCTCTTTTCTCACCTGTGCAAACATTTACGAGTGAGAATATGAATACATTTACTAAAACATAAATAATATTTAGCAGGTAGGCGGATGGGTGGGGGAGGGGGTGTTTCCTTTGAATCAAATAGTTCTTTTAAAGCCAAGGTAATGACAAATTTTCCCTTAAACCTCAGTGATTGAGGTTACGGCATGAGTCACATAATACATATGTATTTTTTAGGCCCTGGGAAATATTTCCATTTAATGCTTCACCCTGTTCATGTTTATTAAATATGCCATTCATGTTTCTTTATATATTTTGGGGAACAAAATTAAAAGCATGTAGAAAAATAAAATATTAATGAATTTAATAGTCACCTGTGTAACCTTATTTAACTTTTAAAATGATTTTTTCCGGGAATTTTAGCTGGGTCGTGACCCATTTTTTAAAAGTGTTCTCAGGGCTAGAGGGTTAATACCAATTTTGTGCAACAATCTGTAAAGTTGTTGATATATTATGTTATACCAGTTGAGGTGTTCGGGCAAGATGTAAGGATCTTCTGTATGCTTATTCTAATGTATTGTGTAAAATGATCTTAATTTCTTTGAGATTGTTTTTGATGCCGGAATTCCATCTTTTGCTTGATCTTGCCCCTGTTTACTGTTCATTCTATTTCTTCAGCATGGTGGCAGTTTAATCATGGTATTTTCTTCTGATGGTTAAACCCTCACATCACATTTGTTGCTCTTTAATGAACTATATAACTGGTATATGATTTGTATCAAGAAATGTATCCACCTAATTGTCACTAAGAAACTTAACAGAGGTGAGAAGGGGCAAAACACACAGAGAAACAAATGGACATTTTGGCAGCAGCGTTTATTGATAAAAATCACAACAGTGAAACATCCATTTGTTAACTCTTTCAGTCCCAGGGGGTTTAGCATCAGAGGCCCCAGGTGTATAAAGTGAGATATAAAATCGGTGTATCTTGCATTCACTGGGCTTTTGGGTAGGAACCTATGAATATATGATGGGTTCCTTGGAATTGAAAGAGGTAATTTGCGTGTGTGTTTTCCCTTTCCCAACTTTGCTGAGCTTCTCAGTTACAGTTTAGTGGCTTCATTTCTTAATACTAGCAAAACTGCAGTCACCCCTGTTTTTGTCATTTATGATTTGTATATATAGCCCAGCATAAAAACTCTTTAATTCTGTATCAGTTCTCCTGTGTTTAGCTATTTCAACAAAACTATAGAAACAAAAAAGTCTCTTAAATAATTGTCAAGTATTTAAGAACAATACAATTTTTTTTTAAATGCTCTTCTGGTAATCATTTTAACATAGAGAAAATACAGCCAGCAATGTTGCCTAAACATGACATTCTAAATTGTTTCCCCTAAAGGACTGACGGCCATTATTTGGAACTGATATTTCCATGAGCTGACTGACTGATTGACTTTCTACCCCACCAGGACATCACACAAGCGATAAACACCTGATGACACAATGTGCCACCATGTGGGTGAGGATCACCGTGAAGAGGTCCCAGAAACCGCGTTGAGCCTTTAGAACATATTTATGGCCAGGCTATATTGCGGCCCCTGGCAAGAGCCAGAATAGGGCTTCAAATAACCAAAAATTCCAACCTAAAAAGTTGAGGATTGAACCATTTTCCATGAGCATCTAGCCAGTAACTGTAATCAAGCATGTTGTTTTGTTTTATTTGGATTAAAATTTTTTAAAGAATCCCCTCCTAGCCATGCAAAAACAAAAAACAAAACAAAAAAATTAGAATCAAATAAAAAATGTAAATTAAAATCAATAAAAACATAAAGGAAAAAAGAGGGGAAAAGGTGGTTGGGGGGGGGGGGGGGAGTAATGCCAGACAGAGAGAGAGAAAGTCACACAGAAGTAGGGAAGATAAGACAGGGAGTAAAGGGGAGAGAGGAGGGAGAGACCGAGAAAAATAGAGAAGGGGAGAGAGAAGAAAAGAGACAAACAGAGAGACAGACAGACACAGAAAGGGAGGAGAAAAAGTGAGGAGAAAGAAGAGAAGATGCAGGTAGATACAATGCAGATATACAAGGACATACAACAAATAAATTTTGCTTCATGAAATCCACATGATATTATGCTAACATAAATACATAAACAAGTCAGAACAACAAAATTTGCTTTCAGAGCAAAGCCTGCATGTTTAATACAATTAATAGACCAATATACATTTGATATAAATATATAAAATGTGGAATCTGTTAAATATTGCAAAACCCTGTGATAATATCTAAACCAGGACTTGGGATATCAGAGTTTCTCTGTATGTTTTATAACAAATTGTTCCATGCCAGTTTGTGCGGCTGCATCTTCTTCGGTCATGACAGTCACCAATGATCCAACAGCTTGACCCACTTGTCCTGCTGAGTGGAAAAGCTCATCGATGCTGCTGGACCCTGAAAAGCAGACACCGTTTGAGAACAAATATTCAAAATCATTTTTCAACATGCTAGTTTTCCATAATGGAAAAATCAATAAATTATCACAAGAAAGCTCAGTTAAAACAACAAACACACACATTCAGAAAAGAACAAACATTTCGAATAGTCTTTTCAGGTCTTTAAATAATGCAGAAACAAACAAAACAAAGCCTGGCATATTTTGCCGTACTTTGTCAGGTACATTACTACAGTTATATCAGCAAATAATGAAGCACAAAAATAAATCCTTTTCACTGAAATACACAAATCACAGTGTTGATTCTAGACACACTGTACATCTCACCAATGGAAGTACAAGATGGCCGCCACATGGTCATCGTGGAAGTTGACATTTACAACATGCTCTTTTAGTATGTGTACAATGCATGATTGCTCAATTTTATTGTCACTACTGCAAAGTTCAGTACATTCAAAAGAAACAGATATACAGTGAAAATACACTTGAAAGAGTGAAAACACGAAAACAATCACACCGCCCATTTTATACTGGAAAACTGTCTAATTAACAAAATAGGCATTCTCCACCCAAATGGAATTCATGTCTAATTTACTTCCTTCTAATATTAAACTTATCAGGCTAGATATTTTGCATACCAGCCCAAAGGTCTCAAGTTCAAATCCTCATTTAGGCAGAATTTTACTATTCACCCAAGGCTCCCAAGTTACATAAATACTAGGAAATTTTCTGGGAAATAAAGGTGGTCAGCATGGAGTTGAACACATCATCCATTGAGTACTGACTGATCTGTAACAATATGGATCTGGCCCCATATACCAAACGCACCAATGTGGTGAAGAGGGTCCTACTTTTTAATTTAAAAAAAAAGAACTTTCTATTTTGCCCCTAATTGTGGTTGACACAATGTGTTGTGGTTTACAACTAGGCTGTGATTTCCCCACCTTTCAGCCCAACACATCTGACATGGGTTAAACTCAGCATGTAGTAAATACAACATGAAGATCAATGCAAACCAAACAGAAAAATTACAAGTTAACAGAACCCCTGGCCCATTACACATACAGCTAAATAGTTCTGGTCTAAATCAAGTTAGGTAATTTAAATATCTAGGAAGTGTGACCATGGAAGATGGCAGAATTGACAGAGAAATGGACATCAGAGGTCAGAGAGCAAGTGCACTTAAATACCAACTGTTACCATTATTAAGACATCCAAAGATAACTATGAGTGCAAAGAGACAGATTATAAACAGTATATTCATTCGAACATTAAACTACCAGTGCTAAACATAGACACTATCTAAAGCTCATGTACCCAAAATCCCCATTTGCGAGATGAGATGCTTGAGAGAAGCGCCAACCTAACCATCCAAGATCAAGTGAATAATGATACTGTCAGATTGTGGGAACCACACCCTGTACTAGATTCATAGAGAAACAGCAGATCAAGTGGTTTGGCCATCTCGTTAGAATGCAGCAAGATTATATACCATCACAAGCACTACATCTCAGAAGATCAGCTACAAGAGCAAGAGGACAGCCATGAAAAATATGGATTGACATTACAGACATCTTACGCCTTCATGACATGACAATAACCTGTGGCAGCCAGTGTGCACTGGATGGCAAATTATTCCTCCCCATGATGCTTAACGGCCAAATTATTCCTCCCCATGATGCTTAACGGCAGAAATGGTTTGTGATGATAGCATCCAATTTCAGCAAGTCCCTAATCAGTCACCTTATATGACATGCTTGTTGAGCAGCAGTAAATCTATTCTTGACATGGGGCCCAGAACACACAGGGAGACATCAGTCATTCTGAAGAACTTTGGCCTCATGAGTGAAGATCTTCTCCAGATGGGTTCTGGGGAAAACAGAATAGGCCCAATGCCTCCCTAATGTGCATGTCATAAAAGTCAGCTAATTAAGGGTTCTCTCTGAAGTCGGAGTGCATCTGCCAGAAACAAAGAACCAAAAGTCTTGTGTACAAATAAGCCAGATCTGTAAAAAAGATATGCACTCAAAACTCAAGTTCTAGAACAAGACTGAAGTCCGGAGGTGGGTGATCAACCAGCCAGAACTTTCCGCTTGAGCTGGTGAATGTAAAGAAGAAATGAAGGCCTTACCTACAGTGCCTGAGTGGCCACTGAGATGAGATGAGAGTTCCGGATGATACTGAAATCTACTTGGTCGAGGAGGCAGAGAACTTTGTGATGATGATGGTGTCGTTACTGGTGTTGTGTGTGATGATGACCCGATGGAGACATAACTGCGTTCACCTCCTGGCTGCTGATAAAAGAATAAAAAAATTAACATCTAGTTTGGTGATTACTGCACGCACAAATACAGTGGTGACCAAACTTTCAAGACCACCTGTGAAAATCACATTGTTATTAAGCATTAAATTCACTTCTATTTTATAGCCCACCAAAAAAATAAAAATAAATGCAGTCATCATTCAGTACGTTCTGGACACAATGTTTTCTCAATGTATAGTTAAATTCACGGGCTATCCTATTAATGAGAATTTTAATGGTAGTTATACAAACTGCTTATGAAAACAAAAACATCATTGGCTTTTTTTGTTTTATAAATAGTTGTAACAGATAATTTAATTATAATTAAACTGGAAAAATGTCAATATAACAGATTATTACAAGTACAAATGCACTTAATTTCAAAATTACTTGACACCTCCCCTCTTCCCCTTTTCCCCAAAACCACCTTGCCCCCCCCCCCCTTCCCCGGCTGAAAAGCACTACTCTATGCTTTTCAGTATAGTGTTTGATGATGATGATTATGAATACTTAGTTAACAGTCAGGTTTATCAGTTTAGAGACTAGTTTTGAAGTCCTTCCACTGTCCTCTGCTATCATCATCATTATCATCATCATCACACTGGAAAGGCTAAGTTAGTCAACAAGTGCCTGCAGAAATTGGATGTGCCAGCTGAAAGGGACAAATTTTGCCGCAACACTGTAAATGGGCACCATGCAATTACACCTTTGGATGACCACAGAAGAAGAAAAGAACATCATCATCAGGTGCATCAGTCAAGAGACTGAATATGAAGTCCTTCCACTCTCCTCTGTTTTCATCATTATTATCATCATCATAAGGTTCATAAGATCAGAATATGGTTTAGAAGTCCTTTCACAGTTCTCTGTTCTCAGAAAATCTGATCAGCTCAAGGTAAGTCTAAACTCTAATGTTCTATGTATGCTTGTGTGATGTATTTATGTCTTAAATATCATTTTTTAAATTTTCCCTGCAGATGTTGCTCCCTATCATCATCATCATCACCACCACCAACACCACCATCACCACCAAAACTATCATCATCTTTTGGTTAGATTCAAGACTGTTCTCAAAAAATGGTCATGGGCTCAAGGTAAGTGTGAACTAAAATGTTATCACATGCTTGTGTGATCTGATTGCATCTTTAATGCCCTTTTTAATTACCCTTAAAGACACACTGCTCTCTAATAATTGCTTCTACAGCTGACCTTCATGTATCAATCGAGTGCAGATTTTGGCAGGTTTTGAAAAATCAATATGCCACAAGTCAAATTATTTTAATATTATTACTTGCTATTCACCACATAATAATAATTATTATTACTGTTATTATTACTGAGCAATCATACAAGGCATAAGCCTTTGCCCCCCTAAGAGGGGGGGGGGGGGGGAGCTCTTCCCCCAGAGCCCCATTAGAAATGAAGAAGGAAATATTAACATGAGAATGGTGTACATGTTTCTGATCTCACCAAGCTAAGCCAACGCTAAATCTACGATCTGTAGTGTCTTAAAGAACAAAGTTGCACTAAAGAAGGCTAATGTGGCTAAGGAGTGACTATGTTAATAAAGCAAATGCCTTAAGTGGTAAAAAAGTTACAAAATTATCGTTAACCACCAAGCCATCAATCAAACCACTTCCCTAAGAAAAAAAAATAAAAGAAATACCTACACAGTTGCTTGATGTGGCAAAGGCCACAATGTCCCAGCTAAATATGACATGGAAGAGCAAAATCAGCATCACAGTCAAGGTCAATATTTACAAATCACTGGTATTGTCTTATTTGTGAGAGTTAGACTCTCACTGTGGAAATGGAAAGGTGGATTCAGGCTTTCCCATGTAAATGTTACAGACACATTTTGCAAATGAGTTATTCAGAACACAAAACTAACAAATGTATCAGATACAAAATAGACCAATTTGCAGGACATCAAGAGCCTCTCTTGGCAGTGGTGAAACATCGCAAGTTAGCTTGGTTCGGGCATGTGGTTAGATGTGATTCGACTAGATGCAAAGACTATACTTCAAGGAACACTGGGGGGTAGTTCAAAAAGAGGAGGGCAAAGAAGAACCTAATATGACAACATCAAGAAATGGACAGGGCTAAGTTATCATACATGGGAAATCCTACCACTGACCTAGCCACCGCTGTCTTTTCTCTTGGAGTCATAGAAACACACAGAAATGAAACATCTTCTTAATATGAAAACAATTTTCTTATGATAATTCATGTTTCTGTGTGTTAGTGCTTTCCATTGACACACCTCCACGACCCTAATGGGTCAAGGGCTATGTTATGTTATGTAAGAAGGAGTAATCTTCCTCCTTCTAAAAATGCCCTACCTGGTCTAAGAGTTTCCTGAGGCGGTTAAGTTGTGCTTCCAGCTGCTGGTTGTGATCTTCTAGCACCTTCATCCGAGCTTCCAGTCTGTTCTTGTGGTGCCTCAACAACTTGGCTTCTGCCATCATTTCATCACTTCCAGTTGCCCCACAACTCTCTTCCTCTGCCTCCAACATGTGTGATACATTCTCTGTCCTCAGTAAAGCTGTTTGCTGTAGCCGATCATATTCCTCCTGTAGAGTTCTACAAATGAAACATAACTTTTCAGTTATGTACAATAAGTCTAACCTGGGACTTGTGTCTTTGTCAGAAAGCAGTGGCATGACAGGCTACCAGAAATGAAGTAGCATTTCAACAAAAACAAACAAGAAAGGACAATGAACTGAATCCCCCAACAACTGATGCTTTTGTCAAGGATGGCTAGACAACAGATTCATTAGCCACTGCCCTCTCCAAGAAGTAAACAATCTCATAAAGAGAAAAACCAGAAACAGACTGGAAAGCAAATGATGGTTATCTTCTTCTTCTTCTTTTTCCTGTTCACATTCTCCGACTTTAAATTTCAGCTAAAAGTTCTAGTTATTTTAGAACTTGAGTTTTGCATGCACATCCATTGTATGTAGCTGGCTTATTGGCTTATTTGTATGCAGACTGTTGGTTCCCTGCCTCTCAGGCAAATGCACTCTCTTTAAAGGAAAACCCATTATTATACAACTTTTATGACATGCTCTTTAGGGAGGCAGTGAGTCTATTCATTTTCTCTCTTTACAATGAGGTCCCAGAACCCACACAGGGAAAAATGATGAATATAAAAAAAAGAATTCCATAAACATTTGAATAGAACTGATGAAATCACCATCTTTTGCATACAAACACACATCCCTCTCTATCTGGTGAAACAATCATAAAAACACGCTTCCTTGAAACAATCATACAAACATGTCTTCTCTTACTCCAGTGAAATAATCCTACAAACATGCTTCCCTGAAACAATCATCCAAACATGCCCTCACCCCTCCACTGAAACAACTCTGCAAACCTGTCCACTCCGCATCCAGTAAAATAATCATACAAGCCTACCTTCCCCCTTTCCAGTGAATTAACCATACAATCAACCCACCCAACCATCTAGTTAACGATCATACAAACATGCCTCTCCCCTTCAGTAAAAACAAGTACACAATCATGTCTTCTCCAGATAAACTAATATACAAACATGCTTCATTCTCCTCCAGTGAAACAGTCATACAAACACACCTTCCCCCTTTCATATAAACATGCTTCCTCCTCCTCCAGGCACACTTATATAAAAATTCCTCGTCCTTCTCCAGTAAAACAATCATATAAGCCTGCCTCTCTCTATTCCAGTAAAACAATCATACAAACATGCCTCCTTTTCCTCCAGTGCAACAATTAAACAAAGTACCGATTTTCCTCTTCCAGATTCCAGATCATTGCTTCCAGTTCTTGCCTCTGCTCCCCATCCACCGCCATCATGATCTGCATGGGACTCTTCAACTGTTGAAGCAACAAATGGTTGTCAGCGTCTTTTACATCAAGGAATGAGAGGGTAATACATTGATCTTTCACTACAGAGAAGGAACCAAAGTTAAAGGTATTCAGAATCAAATGCCTTAGGAAACTGATGAACATTAAATTGGAATGTTTCTTGTGTCGGTTCTGTGGCTCCATTTGGTGAGGGAGGGTTGGGGGGGGGGGGGGCGGGAGGAATATACCCATGTCCTCCCTAACAAGCATGTAGTAAGAGTTGACTAATTAAAGGTGTTTCCTTCTTAGTTGGAGTGTATCTGCCTGAGATGCAAGGAACAGACAGTCTGCATACAAATAAGCCAGATCTGTTCCACACAAAACTCAAGTTCTGTGACAAGACTAAAGTTTAGAAGTGACTGAAGAACCAACCACAACTTTCCGTCAGTTTACAGCTGGTGAGCGCGATAAAGAAGAAGAAGAAGAAATGTCTGGACTACTGCTTGCATCAACAGATGACCTTACACTGGGCACATCTCAAGAAGTGGATAGAGAATCACCAAACAGGCACTTTAATGAGAAACAAATGGATTAAGGAGGTGAGAAGGTCCAAAAGAAACCTCATGGTGAGTGGTGATGAGAAATGCTAAATGTCCTAGACTGGATTACATTTATGATATTGAAACAGTTGCAAGGATACACTGTTGGTCCATTAGGTATTCTCTACCAAATCTTGAAGCAGATGAGATAGAGTCATCTAAAATTAAAGGACCCATTCATCTCTATATAAATTTAATTCTCATAGCATGAAGATATCAAAGTCATAAATCAGCCTCTCCAGTACAGGACTATTCTGCTTGGCACTTTGACAATTCCAGTAACCCTCTCTAATAAGCTTCAATTCCCAGACGCTCCATTTATTGTCTGACTCTCCGGATTCCTTCTCTCCTATTTCTTTGCCTTTTCTCTCCATATCCTCATCTTCTCCTCTTCCCACTCTCTCCATTGCTAGCTGAAGATGGTATCAAGCACAGAACACACACTCTGTAGCTCTAGTGATGAATCTTTATTTTTAGGTACAAAGTCCAAAGAAAAAAATTATATAAATGCAGGAAGTAAACAGTCACCCTAGAATTGCATTCTTGTTAGGGAAGAGGCAGGGGATGTTCTGAAGGAGTCCATACATGTGTAGCCTCCTCTCATGCTAATCAGATGTTCCACACACGTCTGCATATCCTGCAGCCATTTAACCTAATGGGATGTAGGTCCATCTGAGACTTTTTTTAAATTTTGAATTTGGGTTGTCTCCACTAGATCCATTGTGTTCTGTGCATCTTCAGTCATGCACAACAGTCTTGCCTCACAATGGTTTTCCTGCTCTTACAGCCTGAGTGAGCCCCTTTCTCCTTATGGGAGCTAGATCCATCTCTCAAGAGGGAACAGCTGGTGTGCTTCATTGCTTGACAGATCTAATATCCATTACCCTGGATCTCCCTGACCCTTAATGTATTTCCATGCATCCATAGACACATCAAACTTGTTTTATTGACACAGCAGGTAACAAACATAGGAAGTTCCCTGAGTCATCCAGCAGTGGAATATGTTGCTATCATGTGTTTGAATTGGTAACTCAAGTGTAAGAGTTGAAACTGATGTAATAGGTGAAGTACTGGTCTTCAGATTACATGGCAACCAAATGCTTCCATACAGGAAGTGGAAGTTAATCTGCGGGCCATGATTCATATTTCAGGACTGGAATTATATAACTTTCCTCCTCACCCCTGTAAACAAAGAAAGATTGTGTAGAATATTCTTCATTTAGTAAAGTTCTGCAAAATCATTAACACAAATTCCCAAACCCGTCTATTCGAGTTTCATTGAAATAAACTCAAGTAACTAAATAAATCAGTAGAGCATTTGACAAACGTGGATCACTTGTGCCCACATAAAAACTTACAGCTTGAGCAGATGGATCTCCATTTAGGCTGGAGCAGTACTGGGCTATCATATGGTGCTCATCCTCTCTGACAAATCAACAAGTTAGAAACAAACTCAACAAGTTAAATACAAATGGTAATAGGACAATTTCAGCTAAAGTTAAGATGGTTGAAATAGAATTACAACAATGGAACACTGAATTTAAATAGCTGAGGGGACTAAGCCTTATTTAAGTGCACAGTGATAATAACTATTTTAATAAAAATTTGTTGAATGGGTGACATAATAAATAATATGAAATGTATAATGAAATGTTGGCTGAGCTGGGGTGTCGGGTTCGATTCAAGCTTTAGACAGTTTGTTTTGCATTGGTTTCGACAGTGGTACCAAGAGCTGACCATTCTGAAAACAATGGCAAACAACTGAACATAACCACAACAGCCAAAAAACGCTGTGGTTGGTTCTGCAATGTCCTGTAAAAGAATATGCAACTAACGTTTACAATGAAATGCTCAAAAAGAGAATGTCTATATATGGTTATGGATGCTACATCATCCATATGCAAATTTTAAGGGAGGATATGGGAGAGGGGGCGGGGGGGGGGGGGGGGGGGGGGGGGGAGGTAGGGGGAGGGCTTCAAAGTGCCAAGATCAACTGATTCCGATATGCGGGAATATAGATGATTTAAACTAAGGTTAAGTTAAGGATTTGAAAAAAGAGCCTGATTAAATTAAAGACAATTAAATTTAATATTAGTTAAAATAAATAGAGCTTGTGAAAATAATTAAAAAAAAACAAAAACTGACTGTCATGACATACAGTTACACATAATAATATAAAGCTACCTTAAACTCCAATCCTTAAAGACAATAGAAGGTTGGATGACACAATTAAAAATCAAAATAAAACCAAATTAAAAACATATTTACGAATTGTCAACTGCCTGTGTGGCAATGGGACGACTGTAGATGATGATAGTGAATGACGGACTAGCACTTAGAAGACATCTAAGTGACTACACGTTCAACAACCCACGGGAGTTCCTGACTATGACATCATGGAGGATGAGTGAACACTCCAGGACTCATGGAGATTGGAATGACCTGAGGGTGAACGGTGGACTGGACAAAACACGTTTTTGGGGAGTTCATTGGAGAGAGACAATAGTGAACAACACGTGGTGTTTTGATATCTAGGTTTTTAAGCAGCGATTAGATTGTAATAACGTGTTAGATTGGTGGTATTATAATTTAAGTGGTAATGAGGCAGTGTAACGTCAGTGTTATAGAGATATAGTCCACTGTGTGTAGTTATAGTTGTTTACTTAGGTACTTGTGTCCTCGTGAGGTGGTTCACGAAAGTGGTTTGTCAATAAAAAAAAAAGACAAAAATGAGTTCGTGGGCATGGTTCCCAGGCTTCGTGAGCATGGTTCCTAGGTGACTCGGCGCAGTGACGTGATCTGTCTGATCACACTAGCCAGATCCATGCAGTAGCACAGCAGCCCCAGTGTAAGGTGTAGAGGCGTAGGAAAGAGCTTGGATCGGAGGCCCTTAGTTCGGACACAGTTAATGCCTGGAAGCAACTGAAAGGCCAGTGTGTGAGTGGCAGTTGTAAAGCAATCCGGCCGGTTGGGGTAAGGTTAGTGAGCTACCTCTGAGGTGAACTCCCGATCGCTTGTTGTCAACTATATTAAAGGCTTCTGTGTATGCTCTGATGGTGTTGGATTAGTTGTTTTTGAGGCAGACACCTTCTGTCATGGAGCTGTTGCCATTAAGGCCTTAAGCAGTGCTCTGATACAGATCTTGAAAACATATATACAGTAAATTGGTATATAAGTCAAGTTTCCAAGCTTGAAAAAATCTTTACAAAACCAGGGGTCATCTTAAATAGCAGGTATAAAATGCGTTGGGCAGGTACACCGTATTTTACAGTAGTAAAAAAAGGCACATACAGAGACTAATAAAAAACAAACAGCTGAACCAAGTGGACAACAGAGGTTTCAAAACTTACATGTCTGAAAGTGAGCCTTGCCGCTCCTCAAACTCTGCAATTCTGGAACAATAAAGACAGGAAACCATGATAAAGCAACTATTTCTTAATTTTTATGTTTCACCTTATAATATTCTGTTTCTTCTGCGTTCACCTGTAACCCTGTAACCCTAGGAAAAAACCCAAATTCACTTACCCCTGTTTGAGAAATGCTGACAAAAACTTCGGTTAAAAAAATAAAAATCAATAAAACCAAAACATTTGACATAGGTCACATAAAACAATTCTAACAATTCAATTTATTGACTCAATATTAAATTCAATACAGAATGGGGGGATGGGGGGGGGGGGGGGGGGGAAGGGGTAATCAGTAAACTTTTCTCTCTTTGACCATTAAAAACATATATTGTGACTTGTACTGGACCATGCAAATTGGTCGCTGGGTAAGCACTAATACTAAAGGGACATTTTTTACAGATATCCCCAGGGATTGTCACTAGAGCTACAGAGTTTGTGATTTGTGTGACGCTCTCAAGACCGACTGAACCAAATGGGATTAAAATGCAGTGGATTGAAGTAGATCCTCTCGACTTTGACTTCTTTAAAATAATCACAGTTAGTATTTCCTTCTTCTCTGCTTTCCCTGGCTGTAAACTAGGGCAAAAAGTCCTGGTTGTTCCACCCTTCTGGACTTTGGTCTTGATCCAGAACTTTGGTTCTGCGTGCGCATCCACTGTACTTATCTGTCTTATTTTTAATGCAGACTGATGGTTGGTTGCCTCTCAGGCAGATGCACTGACTTTGAAGAAAGCACCTCTAATTAGTTGCCTCCTATGACATGCTTGTTAAGGGAAAGTGGGTCTGTTCTCTGTTCTCCAAAATGGAGCTTCAGAACCAACACAGGAAAAGGTAAATGTGGTCACTGGCTTTTTCTAACGAATCAAACAGTGTTTTTTTTTTTTTTACAACTACAGTCACATGAGTGCAGTGGCCAGCATGTATACCTACTGCTGGTTGTGAGTTTGAATTCCATGGAGGGAGGATTAAAAAAAAACACATACACAACTAACTTAGACTTTCTGGCTGACCAAGTCTAAAATAGATGAGGACTTATTTGGGGAATTAAGAGCAGTAGATTAGATGCTTGTACCTAACAAGACTGTAAGGTACCTACCTTCCAGGGTAAAAGAGGAAAGACTAAACAAGACAAAGTACCTCTATATCCCAGAGTAAAAGAGAAAAGACTTAACAAGACTGTAAGTTATCTCTACATTCCAGGGTAGAAGAGAAAAGACTAAACCAGACTAAAGGTACCTTTACATCCGAGGGTAGAAAAGACTAAACAAGACTTAAGATACCTCAACATTCCAGGGTAGAAGTAAAAAGTCTTAACAAGATTCTACATGAAAGAATAAAGGACAATTGTCCACTCACCTGTTGGACATCAGTTCCAGGCGAGAGTGCATGTCCTGGGAGATGCTGTGTTGTGGAGATGGATGTGGGCTGTGCAGACAAACAAACACATAATCAACCTCCTACTATAATAAGATGAAGAAGACAACTTCAATGTAAAACCATGTGCATTAATCTTTCTTGAAAGAAGGAAACTAGACATTTAACTTCATAAAGTTGTAACATCTATATGATACCAGGGTAATCTTGCCAAACAGCCATACCATCGCCACCGTTGCACTTTAATAACTGTATTTAATTAACAGTGTGACCTCTAATCTTTGAACTTTAATCATTAATGACTAAAATTGATGTGCACCAGAACTCAAGTCTGGAACAAGACTAAAGCCCAGTTATTGATGAACAGCCAGGAGGTTTGCTGGAGTTCCCACTGGCAAATGCAAAAGAAGAAATGGAAGAAAAAACAGATGAAGAAGGTTAACTACCTTTCAAGACTGTCTCCTTCGAGGTAAGACTCAACTGGGAGATAGCCTCGCCTGGGATGTTTTTTGAAATGATGTTTTGACTTGAATTTGTTCTTGACAATTTTGGAGAAATCCCGAACATCCTCACCTGAAGTTGTCTGTTGGAATAATACAGGAAAAATATAGAAATCAAAAACAAATCATTAAAGTGATAAATGAGGAGTGAAAATAATAAATATTATAGCACATCTTGATGCATAGGCGGGAGTCGACGTGGCAGAGTGGCTAGACTCACCGCAGATCGGAAGGTCGTGGGTTTGCTCCCTGGTTGAGGCGGACTTTTCTTCAAAAATGACCTTGGCTCCCAGGTCGACCCAGCCTTTAGTGGGTACCGGGTGCAGTCCCGGGAAGTAGAGGTGGCCAGTGTGATGCTGACCACATCACCCATCTTGTGCTGTTGGTCTATAAAAATATAGGTCTAGCCCTATATGCCCTATATGCCTAAAGGCGTGGAAAGGGTCCGTTACTTTTACTTACTTGATGCATGGGTAAATCCAATACTTTGGTTTAATATATGCCAGTGACAGCTGGAGAATCAGTAAAGATATGAACGAAGGTCTAATGTAACTTTAAAACAAATGTCCAAGGAAACTGATGAACATTAAATTGGATGAATTCAAGAAAGATGAAGAAATGAGAGAAATATCTGGACAACAGTTATACAACGAAGAAGAAGAAGGTGATATACTAAGCAATCTCAAAACAGACACTTAGATAGGAAAAAAAAATGGGCAGAGCAAATGAGTGTGTCCAAAAGACATTCTAAGATGAACATTAATTAGAGAGGTTAAAAGTGCTGGACTGGATTCCATCCACAGGATAGAATGGGAAGGAAGAATTTACTGCTAGCCTTATATGACAACACAACAAGATAACAATGAAGCAATAAATGGGACCCCCCCCCCCAAAAAAAAAAAAGACAAAATATACAACAATTTATTGACTCCACTGGCTAGTACTGTTTAAACTAGGATAAAACCAGAGAGTTTAACTATTTCTGCACCACAGTCTTGTGCAAAGAATGACTTTATTATAGAATTTATGACATCATAATTTCCCATTAGTTTTAGGGTTTACCCAGCGATTGGGGTACAGGGTTAAGTCCAAGTCAAGGTATAATTGTTATAATGGTCAAAGAGAGGTAAACTAGTTGGCTCTCTCCTTCATTTGTGTTCACTGATTACTCCTCTTATTCTGTGATGAATATAACATTTTCCTGCGCCAAAAAATGAATTGTTATGATTGTTTGTGTGACCTAGGTAAAAAAATTAATGTGTTTTTTAATGGATTTTTTCCTATCAAATTCAGATGGCATAGATTACTTCCCCAATGGCTCTACACTGACTTAGTTCAATACAAACTATGCCATACTAGAACAATGGCTAATTTACAAGACTTCAGGTCTGCACAGAAATGCAAGGCAGCTTTAAATTGCCATAAAAGTCATAACCACTATCAATATTGCTGCAATGAGTTAAGAATCAACATCACATCAGTTGAGGCATTCCCATAACTGCTCCATCCCCATTTTCAGCAGCCAGCACACATAATTATTGCTATCAATACCATCAAACAGTAATTAACATATGCATACTTGTGCAGTATCTGGTAAACAGATAACTTACTGCGGTACAGTACTCCTTCATTGGATGTGTTAGCTTGTGGCTTTTGGCAGTTCGACCAGAAAAGAAACAGTTCTGGCAGACGTCAAAATTGAAACATTTCAAGCAGCGGTATCTGTAAACAACAATAAAAACATTTAATTTCAGCTAAAAAGATGATTCAAAATGAGGCAACAAAGATACAGGATTTTAGAAGTTGGAGGAGTAAGAACAAGAGGAAGAAGTGGAAGATAAAGAGCAAGATGAGGAAGAGAAGAAAAAGAAACAAATAATGCAAGTACTAATAAATGAAGGTTGTCCAGTCTGTCTACTTCATGAATAAATACTTCCTCATCCAAAGTAAATTCTGAAATGTAGAATTAAAAGTGATTGCAGTGTTTGTATCTTGTCCGGACCCAACCAGTGAACCTCCATCACGTCTACTGAAATAATGAGTAAGGCAAGTGATTTTTTGTTTTGCAGCAGCAAGTGTAACAGCCTGTGAACACAAGCTATGTACCTGAAGCCAACAATGGGAAACTCCTTGCACACATTACACTTGGCCTGATGTTTGGCTGTTTCTGCTGCGGCCAGGCGGTGGAGAACTGGAAGCCAAACCAAGGACTGGGGTTCTAGCCTCAGCCACTCCAAGAAATGTGACACCTCTATCTCCGGCCGACCTTTAGCCTTTGGAAAGACAATAATAAATGCACAAAATTACAACTGCTAGTATCAACTGTAATATAAAAAAAAAATAAGGCAATATATTGGTCACATCTTGAGGAGAAGCTAACACAGTAAATCACTAAGGAGACACTGAAATGGGACACAAATGTACTGAGTAAGTGGGCACATCTAAAAGAAACTATAAGATGAAGTGAAGTTGGTGAGAGAGACCAAATGTGATGGACTAGCTTCCATCCATCGTATCAAAATGATTGTACAGGACAGAATGGAATGGAGGACTGGACTATGAGCCCTTCTTCTTCTTCTTCTTTGCGTTCACCAGCTGTAAACTCTGGTGGACAGTTCTGGTTGTTCGTCCACTTCTGGACTGCAGTCCTGTTCCAGAACCCAAGTGTCGCATGTGCATCCGTTTGACAGATCTGACACATTTGTGTGCAGACTGTTGGTTCCTTGCCTCTCAGGCATATGCCCTCCGACTTCGAAGGAAGCTCCCAATTAGTCGACTCATATGACATGCCTTTGGGTAGGCAGTGGGTCTGTTCTTGTTTTCTCTATAATATGGCCCTGGAACCCACACGGGGGACCATGAGCCCTATCTAATGTGTAATGGCAAAACATGATGATGATGTGATGATGACACTGCATTAGAAAGAAGATACCGTGTAAGTACTTGAGTCTGTTAGATAAAAAGATGCCTTGCTTTACCAGGGCCCAGAACATTGTCACGGATGTGGAAAACTGGTACTCTAAAACCTAGACCATCAGCTCTTCATCATTATCTTCATGTGCTTTGCAAAAAAATTCAAGCAGTTGTTTGTCATTTTATATGATCATTAGAGCAGAGATTCTGTTGTGTTCTTGTCTAGCCAATCACACATGGTATGTTAATTGGTAAAGATAATGACTAGCCAATCATACATGATATGTTAACTGGTACATATGAAGACTATTCAATCACACATGATATGTTAATTAGTGCATATGAAGACTAGCCAATTACACATGATATGTTAATTAGTACATATGAAGACTAGCCAATCACACATGATATGTTAATTAGTACATATGAAGACTAGCCAATTACACATGATATGTTAATTAGTACATATGAAGACTAGCCAATCACACATGATATGTTAATTAGTACATATGAAGACTAGCCAATCACACATGATATGTTAAATGGTACATATGAACACTTTTCAATCATACATGATATGTTAATTGGTACATATGAAGACTATTCAATCACACATGATATGTTAATTGGTACATATGAAGACTAGCCAATTACACATGATATGTTAACTGGTACATATGAACATTATTCAATCACACATGATATGTTAATTGGTACATAAGAAGACTAGCCAAATGCACACGATATGTTAACTGGTACATATGAAGACTAGCCAATCACACATGATATGTTAATTGGTACATATAAAAACTAGCCAATCACACATGATATGTTAATTGGTACATATGAAAACTAGCCAATCACACATAATATGTTAACCGGTAAAAACAAAGACTGGCCAATCAACATGTCATGATAACTGGTGCAAATAAAGACCAATCAATTGCATATGATGTGTTCTTTGTGACAAAAGTGTTGAACAGGACATCACACAAATGCAAATCATCTCTAAAATTACCATCTCAAAACAGCTGCGGACACTTGGTTCAATATTGCTGCCTCCAAATGAAGCGATTTCACCAAGCTGACGTGGAATCTGCATGCAGTCATGCAGTAAAAGTCCCAGTTTTCGTTGGTCAGTAAATGCATTGACGTCTCCTATAAGTCTGAAAATGTCTGAAATATGAACAAAATAGTAGTATTCTTTTTTGTCACCTCTCTTGTGGAGTAAACAATGCAGGCTGAGAGAAGGATCATGCTGCATGGGCAACACATGGTCTCTACAATACTGTTAAAAAAGTTAGTTGCGTATCCTTTACAGGATATTGCAGAACCAATGCCAGCATTGGCTGTTGTAGTTTTTCTAGGCAACTTTATGTACAGCAGTTTGCCATTGCTTTCTGGATGGTCGGCTTCTTGATACCATTGTCAAAACCAACGCAAGGCCGGCAGCTAGGATTGAACCCGGCACCCCAGCATTATGAAGCGCGTTTGCAATGCCTAAGCCACAGACGCCAACCTCTACAATACTAACCAGACCTTATGCAAGCCAGTCCTACCTGGTCTGGACTTCAGGTTACTTCCTAACTGTTTTGGGCCCCAATAAAACCTTACATTTCAATGGGGTTTACCAGGATTTGTACACGTGATATTCTCATCCTTGAGGTAATAATCCTGTGGACTGCAATCCTGGAGAAGACAAGCTGCAACTTTAGGGAAAAAGGTAAGGGATAAAATAATCAGAGATAGGTTGAGAGTTGAGCGTCTGAGAGGAAGCATATTAAATAAACGCATTTTCAACAACTGTCCTCAAATCCCATACTCTGAAATGTGGAAGATGTTTCCTGGCATGAGCAGGTCTTGCTGGTCACAATAACCATCTCCACGTGCTGTGGTTCCACTACTTCCCTATACTAAAATATGACATTATTATCTGGAAAGGCGGAGAGGTGCCAACAGTAGGATTACAAGCCAAAGAAATCTGTGACTGACTGACTGACTGACTTTCTACCCCACCAGGACAGCACACAAGCGATAAACACCCGATGACACAAAGTGCCACCATGTGGATGCGGTTCACTGTGGAGAGGTCCCAGAAACCGCATTCAGGCAATTGGCCACATTTATGGCCTGCCTAAATTGCAAAAGCCAGAGTGGGGCTTCAAATAACAAAAAATTTCCTCTTAAAAAGGACGAAACAGGATTAAAGTATCAGAAATCTGTTCTTTAATATGTAATTACATTAAGCAAATATTTCAGTCTTTTTGACATTTTGAGAGATAAATACTCAAGTGTTCTACTATAATAGTTTTCCCCATGTGGGTTTTGGGGCCCTATGTTTTAAGGAGGGGAAAAAAAATTGGCTCACTGCCCCCTTAAAAAGCAGGTCAGTAATGAAAATTAATTAAGGAATTGCTGAAATGAAATGTTTTGTGCTGAAAGGCACAGATATAGCAGTCCTCATTTCAATCAAAACAAAACATGCCAACCGTCTTTTTGAGGTGAACACAAAAGAAGAAACAAAATTTGTCCAATGAATGTCTGAGACTGCCAGGCTAAACATTTGTGTAATCATCATCATCTTAACAGTCCCTTCTAATCTGCTGCTTGCAGTCACCTGGCCTAACCCTACAAGAATTATCAAAGGTAGTAAAGGCAGACAGTAAAAGAATGGTAAATAAACGTAGTAAAGGTAGACAGTAAAAGAATGGTAAATACAGGTAGTAAAGGTAGACTGTAAAAGAATGGTAAATAAAGGTAGTAAAGGTAGACTGTAAAAGAATGGTAAATAAAGGTAAGTAAAAGAATGGTAAATAAAGGTAAGTAAAAGAATGGTAAATAAAGGTAGTAAAGGTAGACTGTAAAAGAATGGTAAATAAAGGTAAGTAAAAGAATGGTAAATAAAGGTAAGTAAAAGAATGGTAAATAAAGGTAGTAAAGGTAGACTGTAAAAGAATGGTAAATAAAGGTAAGTAAAAGAATGGTAAATAAAGGTAGTAAAGGCAGACAGTAAAAGAATGGTAAATAAAGGTAGTAAAGGTAGACTGTAAAAGAATGGTAAATACAGGTAGTAAAGGTAGACTTAAAAGAATGGTAAAAAAAAATGTAGTAAAGGTAGACTGTAAAAGAATGGTAAATACAGGTAGTAAAGGTAGACTGTAAAAGAATGGTAAATACAGGTAGTAAAGGTAGACTGTAAAAGAATGGTAAATACAGGTAGTAAAGGTAGACTGTAAAAGAATGGTAAATAAAGGTAGTAAAGGTAGACAGTAAAAGAATGGTAAATAAAGGTAGTAAAGGCAGACAGTAAAAGAATGAGAGAAATGCACAAAGCCTGATCTCTGTAACTCCAGCAATGGTCCCCAGTGATGTAAGAAAAAATTGCATTTGTAAACCAAAAAACTGAATCCATGACCTTAAGATGAAAAGAAATATAGATTGATGATTTCACCATGGAGACCATCTAAGAACTATAAACAGCGTGCTGCATCACACAAACACACATTCCCACTCAAATATACACTCACACACAAACACCCTGTGTTGCAGGGAGGGGTGAAATCGGAAAGTGAGTAGAGCTAAAGGTTCTGAGATATAGAGAACCTGGAAAAACTGTGAATGAAAAGAGAATTACCGAATGAAATACGAAACAGACAACTGAAATATTTTGGCTACATATAAACAACATTATATACTTTTAAAAACTATACTAGAGGGAAAGGTTGAGGGCAAGACAGCAAGAGATAGACAAAAATACAAGTGGGAAGACATCGTCAAGAGATGGACAAAAAGCAACAGCAATCTGAGAGCGTACAACCAAAACAAGAGACAAAAAATGTTGGAGATCCATAGCAGCCAACCTTCATTGTGGAGATGGCACTCGATTGATTGACTGACAGCTAAAGGAAAAAATGGCTGCAGATAAGTTGACAGCTGAGCGTCCAAGAAAAAGATCAGGTCCTGAGAGAGCCAGATTTTTTTCAGAAATGACCTTGCTTCCCAGGTTGACTCAGCCTTAAAATGAGTACCAGGTAGTCCTGGGAAGTAAAGGCAGCTGGCATGATGCTGACCACATCACCCAGCGAGTGCCAATTGGTCTATAAAATATAGGTCTAGCCCTATATGCCTGATGTGCCTGAAGGAGTAAAAAAACAAAAGGGTCCTTTTTTAGTAACTGTCATAAAGTGGCCATATTTTCCCCAATCTTATTTTTCCTCTAAGCTTAAACATATATGACTCCTAGAAATATCCTATCTTGAAGCCATGTATGATGAATGGTATATGTGGGAGTTTCATTTATCAGCCAATCCCCGGTAAAGTTGAAAAATTAGAACGTCATACTTGCCAACCCCTAAACTAGCAACGCATTTGTGAGCAAGACAGCAGAAAGTAAACACCGGAGAGTTTGAAACTAATGAAGGTATAAGAACAGAATGTGTTGCAAGTGCCATGTTGAGACAGATGGTGAGAAATATCTATTGTGTATCTGAAAATGAAGAATCCAACAACTCATGAACGAACCATCTGCAATAAAATTATGTCAAGGTGATGTAAAATCTGAAGAAATGATTTTCCAACACAGCACTGAAATAGCTGGTTGATGATGAAAGCATTAGGACATATTTTATAGATAAGAATTTGTTAGTAAGATAATAACAAGAATGTAAAAAATAATAATTAAATTTTGCAATTTAACTTATTTTTGTAAAATGAAAAGTTGATAAAGGATAGTCTCATGAACCAAGAAAAAGATACACCTATTAAAAATCATGTATATTTTATTAAAATTTAAATTTTTTTATTATCCTGAGACTATACTTAGACAATGTGTCTGTATGAAAGTGTAAAGGAAGACCTTTAAGTATCTAGGGGTCTATAAATTGATAGTGAGGACACACCAGTTAGAATAGGCCCACGGCATTTCTATATAAACCACAAGATTTTCTAACTCCTCACTTCAGGATTGGAGAACACAGTAACATATTATCTCAGGACATGTTCCTAGACATGTTTATTTAGTTGTTTGAGCCATTGATTCAGAAGTTAATCTTTCCTGCACATGACGACAGTAACCCTTGCCATAAGCCATAGCACAAACAATAAAACACTATCATCTGGAAATATGAAAAAGAAAAATATTAAATGTAACTCTCTGACAATCACACACTCACAAACCATAAAAAAACTACAAAACTGATGACATACACACTGTCTAGACTGTTTGACTGTGACCAACTGTTTGCCAAATCGACTGACTGTTAAGTGGACAGATTACAGCTGGTTATCAAGGTCAGTCCCCATGTTATACCATGGCCAACAAAGAATGCATAGAATTGCAATACTTCAACCTGCAATGCATGTTCTAAGACACAAGCATGAATGATTTGTGTGAGCTGCTTCCAGCAGAAACTAACTGCAAATTCAACAACTGTTAACAAGTTTTTAAGAGCCTGGCTAGATAGCATGTGCTCCACTGGAAGATGAAAGGCAGAAGCAGCAGCACAAGAAGAAGAAGAAGAAGAAGAAGAAGAAGAAGAAGAAGAAGAAGAAGAAGAAGAAAAAGAAGAAGAGGAAGAAGAAGAAGAAGAAGAAGAAGAAGAAGAAGAAGAAGAAGAAGAAGAAGAAGAAGACAATGGAGGTCGATACAATTTAAAAAACTTACATCTGTATTTGTCTTCAAGTTGAGCATTACACAAAATAACAAGCCCGACCTTGAAAGAAAGTACCCTGACTTTACCACTTCTCAAGCTGGAATAAACAAATAATAGAATAAAATATTATTTAACTACAGGAACACAAGTGAGGAGTTTGGTACACCTTGATTCATCGTGATGGATCTTGTGGATATTCAAAATGAACAGTTGAGCTGTTTTGAGTTAAGCTAAAATTGAGTGAGAGTCTACATCAAAGTACTGTGAACATTTCCATAAGTGCTCCATCGCCATCTTCAGCAGCCACCATTGGTGTCAGCTGCAACATGATTACTACAAACTGTGGGGTGTGAGTCAACCTGGTGTATATGTCAACCTGGAGTATAAGATGATCTGATGTACATGTAAAGTAAAGTAAAGTAAAGATCCCTTTTCACGCCTTTAGGCGCATCGGGCATATGGGCAGAGCGTCCCATATTTTTACAGACCATCAGCACTTTGTGGGTAATGTGGTCAGCATTACGCCGGCTGTCTTTACTTTCCCAGGACAGCCAATCCTGGTACCCATTTTAGGCTGGGTCGACCTGCGACGTCCCATACCACGACAAAAATCCACGCAGCCTGCAGTGGGTTTCGATCGCGGTATGCTGGCTTATGCAACGCCTTAGCCACGGACGCCGCTGTACATGAGTGAAGCCTATACCAGAGTTTGGACTAAGACATCACCCTTCAAGTCCAAAGTGACTCCCAAGTCATTACCACCAGGTAACAATTGCTTGTTGTACCCCACCAGGACATCACACAAACGATAAACACTTGGTGACACAAAGTGCCACCATGCGAATGAGGATCACCCGCCCGTGGAGAGGTTCCAGAAACCCCTTTCAGCTGTTATGGCCACATCTATGGCTAGACAATATTTATGGCCCGGCTATATTCAGGACCCCCCCCCCCCCCCCCCCCCCCCCCCCCCCCCCCCCCCCCCCCCCCCCCCCCCCCCCCCCCCCCCCCGGCGAAAGCCAGTGTTTGGCTACAAATAAAGAAAGATTGCATCCCACATGGGGACAACAGGTGAACTGAACTGAACTGAATTTCTACCCCACCAGGACATCACACAAGCGATAAACATCCGATGACACAAAGTGCCACCATGTGAATGAGGATCGCCGTGGAGAGGTCCCAGAAACCGCGTTCAGACATTTGGCCATATGTATGGCCTGCCTATATTGCGGCCCCTGGCAAAAGCCAGAGTGGGGCTTCAAATAACAAAAAATTACGTCCTAAAAAGGACGTAAGGATATCTATAGGGACAACAGGTGATATAACAAAGAGTAACATTTGTTAAGCTGTGCATCATTTACGAGGTAAATAAAAAAAAAATATTAAGGATTTGAACACAGGACTAGCAGGCCAGGAGGCAAACTACTATACCTCCCTGTCAACGTAGAAACAATAGTTAACTTACCTGTCATAGACATCGAGGATCCAGTTGAGTGTCAGGTCAACGGACAGAGGGACGTTGATAATCTCAGGATGCACTTTGGCCGCTGCCTCGAAAACTGTTGACAGGCACTCAATTATCTCCCCTACATCTATGAGCTTGTCATTACGGCCCCTTAATCCATGGATGTCGAAAGCATCCACAGCCATTTGTAAGGAAACCATATCCACTGAAAACAGGAAGTTATGTTTTGATTTTACATTTACTGAGCACATACAACATTAAATGAACACAAAGGTTACATAAATAATTATGATGGACAAATTATCCTCATCATGTGCCAAGCTAAAATTCTTAGGTGGTCATGTTTTGCCATCTCCCATAATCACCAGAATCATGGATGAGGCCAGTGCTCTTGTCTTGGCCTACCCTTATAACCAAGCCATCCAGCTATTTATCTCTTTGCTCATCCCTTGCTCTTTTTCCAACTTTGCCAGTTGTAATCAAGTTCTAGAGTCCATCCCTTATTATAATGTTGTTCTTGCCATTTTGAAGAAAGCTGTTTGCCATTGCCTTTCTTCTTGGCAGTGACCACACTGGTAGGGTGACCACAGTCATTGTCACTACAGTTTGATCCTCTGCCTACCGCTGAGGAACTTGGGGCCATGACCAGCAACCGTCTGTCGGCTGCTCTCAAGCAGGAGACACCACCAGGTCTTCTTGGTTCATGTTACTTTTAGAGAAAAAAAAACGGGGGGGGGGGGGGGGGGCCTAAACATTTATTTATAATTAAATGGCTAATTAAATTAGAAAACTACATACATCTATAAGAAAGAGGAAATCAGTGTTCTCTGGTCATGGGATGAGAAGATGGGCATTGGAGAACATCACCATGGCTGGAAAGATCAATGGTTAAATAAAGCACACCAAGAAAAAGTATTATTGACAGCCTGAAGCAGTGGAATGTAGCAATATCATCAGTGGAACTGATTCATAATACCAAGGATCAAAATCTGTGGAGAGACCAGACTGTCTACACCACAAGGGAGGGTTTATGATGATGCTGTCTCCAGTTATCTCCCCCATGTGTGACACAGAAGACTCCAGTTAAATGATATATTAGTTACACTATGTCAGTTTTTCTCACTGTATGGCCTAGTCAGCAGCAATGGCTTTATTAGACTCCCTGATTCACTGAATTTATTATGTTCTCTCCACAAAATTAAACATTAAAAAATTCCTTTTCCCAATTCATACACAGTTTAAATATTCTAACTGCCAGTTCCGGAGATGTTCCTAGATCCTCACAAGCCACCAGTATTTGACTATAAGACACTTCATAAACATCAGGTTCCTTAGTATAACTGTGTTATGCAGTTGAAAAGGGTCTCTGGGAATTATTCCTACTGAATTCTCACCCAAATAGTGTCTTTGAGTCACTGGATGTTAATCTTTCAAAAAGCAAAAATGGAGAAGGGGGCATTTAAAAAGAAAACTTTTCCTAAATTAGTGAAGGTTTTTCATATGTTAAATTCTGTAACTCATATGTACTGGCAGCAAACAGCAGCTACAAGAATTAACAACTGTTTAGGTACAATTCAAAGCATAAAGAGGGGCATACGACAAGGATGTGTACTGTCACTTGATTTGTTTTCAATATACAGTGAATATATAATGAGATCTTTAATTGATATGATCAGAATTGTGGTTGATGGGCACAATATAAACAATTTGCGTTATGCTGATCACACAGTCTCGACGGCAACAAGTCAGAAAGAACTACAGGAAATGATAGACATTGTGGTGTTAAAAAGTGGAAGAATGGGCCTCAGTTTGAATAATGGCAAGACAGAAGTAATGGTGGTATCAAAGAAACAAACTATTCCTAAATGTGCAATAAAAGTCGATGGTGTTATTTTGATTTTGGGACAAGTACAGAAATTTAAGTATCTGGGCACATGGATAACATCAGAAGGAAGATGCATTACTGAGATAAGAATAGGAATAGGACAGGCAAAAACTGCATTTTATAAAATGAAGAACGTCTTGTGCAATATATACTTGTCATTGAGAGTTAGAAAAATAATTCTTGCCTGCTACATACATCCAGTGTTAACTATGGCTGTGAATCCTAGACAATCGGTAGGCAGGCAAAACAATTTCTTGAGGCCTCAGAGATGTGGCTTTACAGAAGAATGCTCATAATACCTTGGACAGCCAAAAAGAGCAACAAAGTGGTTTTGAAAGAAGCTGGAGCCCGAAGACAACTTATCACAGACATCTGAAGGAGACAGTCATCATTTTTCGGCCATGTTATGAGAAGAGGGAAAATAGAACATGTTGTGACCACTGGAAAGATCTGTGGAAGGAGGGATAGAGGAAGACAACGAGAGAAGATTCTTGACAGTCTTGTTGCATGGCATGGAGGTGTGTCGGCACACGAACTGATACATGCTGCAGGAGATCGTAGATTATGGAAAGGTATGATCCCCCATGCCAGTCGGAAAGGCACCTGATGATTATGATGAAACACTATAATATTTTTCTCACTTGTATCGAAGTAAATAAATACTAAAAACAGCCTAGCAAGAGAAAGAAATGAAGTGTCCTGCTGCTTTCCTCCTAAAATATGTCTAGTAATACTGCTAGTGTAGACTTACAGCATAACTTTTTCTGCAGCATTCTCAGCTTCATGCCTGTCCTGTAAGCAGCAAAACGGATTTTGTTGAGCTCGGCTGCAGAAACAAACAATTATTTAGTCATCATCATCAGATGCTGTGCTAATAATGGTACACTCTCACGGTTTGCCATTTCCCACATTCACCAGAAACATGGTTTAGGTCAGAGTTTTTGCCTCTCCCTATCTATATAACTAAACTATCCAGCTATTTATCTCTTTGCCTTCCCCTTTGTATGCAGACTGTTGGTTACTCTCCTCCTAGGAAGATGCAGTCCAACTTCAAAGGAGCACTCATAACAAGTCACATCTTATGACATGCTTGTTAGGGAAAGGGAGGAGCAGTAGGTATAAGATAAGACGGGGCCCTGGAATCCATGCGGGGAAGATGTATTATACAAAACAATAATATAATTCTTGTTATCTCCCTTGGTGTCACATGATATTGGTAATTTTACAGTGTGTGTGCACACATGTATGGTGTGTGTGTGTTTGTTTTTAAAGCCACTGTAGCAAAGTTCATGCATGTGCCTGACAAGCTGGTAGTCCAGATTCAACCCCCTGCAGTGAACATGTATATTTTATATCCAATCAGATGCTGTAGGGTGGATCCAGCCTCACAAAACATTTATTAGATCTATAGATCTTTTTCAGAATTATCTGGGAATCAATCTATCATTCCAATACAAGATGCAATTTTTTATTAATTTAAAGCCCACCCCAGCTGTAGTCGGGGGCCCTAATATAACCTAATGGTTGAACGAGGTTTCCGGGACCTCTTCCGGGGTGATCCTCATCCGCATGGTGGCATCCAGAACATATAGTCATCTCAGAACACATAGATAATATAGACCATATGGTGTCATCATAGAACAGTTGGTAAACTTATGACTAACAGTAATCTTGGAGTATGTAGACAGCATAGAACATATAATCATCTTTGAAAATTTAGCAAGCTTAGAACCAGTAGTCATCTAGGAACATGTGGACAACATAGAACATATAGTCATCTTAGAATATTTAGTCAACTTAGAAACTAGCAGTCACTTTGGAATATATATATATATATATATATATATATATATGATATATAATATAATATATATATATATATATATATATATATATATATATATATATATATATATATATATATATATATATATATATATATATATATATATATATATGTATATATATATGTATATATGTATGATGTATATATCTCTATATATATATATTATATATATATATATATATATATTATAATATATATATATATATATATATATATATATATATATATATATATATATATATATAGATTATATAGTAAAGCATATGAAAACAGTAACCATAGAACAAATAGTCAACTTTGAACACATAGTTAACATGGAACTCACAGTCAGCTTAGAAAATAAAGCCAACAAAAAACATAAAGTCAAAATTGAAAAAAAAAAAATCATCTGGTTAAGAGAAGATGTACCTACTCAAGGAGTCCATGAGAAATGTGAACTGAGGATGATCCCACTGTGTGGTCTCTGTGGCGTGGCTGAAGAACATAACAAATATATACTATAAAAATTGGCAGAGAACATATAAACATGTTATACAGAACATCTACCCATATCTATCAATTATAACATATGTAACCAGGAAATCTGGCTGATGCTCAACAATCAAGGGAAAGGCAGGACGGATGTACAATCAGACAGTTATTGGTACCATCAGAGTTGGAACTCTTCGTTTGCTGCTGCTGCTGACTGGGACAGAGCACTTATGGGAGTGACCCGAGTGCTATGATGTCGATTCTTAATTCAACATATGTAACTACACATTCAAACTACCATAACACAAGTTGAGCTTAGATCTCTGCTGAATCAAATGGGCCAGCTGATCAAGCATACTTCTCCAGAGGATCCCAGGCCACTGCATTATGGGAAATGAGAGAGCAAACTACTTAACAACAAATGGGAGCAATACAGAACAGACAGATATGGGATGGTTTATGGTTTATACAACAGATCAACATCATGGCAATAGGGTAGTAACCCATAAGTGTTCCGTTCTACTTCCAACTCAAGCCTCAGTCCAAAGAATCTCAGTGCAGTGCACAAATTCCGTAGCATCAGCGAGGATGCTGAAATACTTTGAGTACATTTGTAACTCCAAATTTTAGGCTACTCTTTTTGATTTTAAACTACCAAAGGATTTTTAAATATATTTAGATATAAAATGCACTTAAGAGGAAAATGGGACTGAGCCTCGAGAGGCAGGGGGTAAGAAGTGTTGGTGTTGTGGGTAGTGGGTTCCCCCCCTTACTTCACCCTAGGTCTAGTGAATATCTGTTCACGAAAGGAGCGTTCATTGTGGTGTCAGCCTCTTGACCTAGCAAAACCTCTCTTACCTCAAGACCATTGTGTGTGGCGAAGAGTCACAGCCTCCCCGAGGTAGTCCCGGTAACTGGGGGTGCGAATCCCCAGGCAAAACACAATGGATCTAGAGGAGCAAACCTCGATAATAAACCCGGTGCACCACACCGTACTGCCCCCTGTGGGAGGGAAGGAACCAGAGGTGTGCTGAACAGTCTTAGGAATGGAAACAAGTATGCTAACCCCCCTGAATACCGGAAACTATCATGAAGGCACAGGGACTCAGGACGTGACGATCCAGTTGCCCCAACTACTCATGCTTAGGCCATGCTTAGAGACATGAAGAGCTCAGCGAAACCTGCAGGCAATCTGGTGGCGGGGAATGAGAACACTGTGAGCCCCACCTTAGCTACGTGTTAAAGGGAAAAGGCAGAAACACAACCCATATTTCCTTTAGAACTGGTACAGGGCATTTCTAGCTGCTGCCCGGGGAGGTAGGTAATCCACAGACACCCCAGCACCACAATGCCATGAATATGTCAAAATTTAAGAATACATACGAGATCGGTCGTCGCCTCGTCTATCAAGGCCCGCGCCAGACAGTGGGAAACCAGGCTGTCATGTGCGAAAAATTGGCTACTGGAAAATTTGAAATAAATAGGGAAAACAGACACCCCAGGAGGAGGAAGAGTGGGAGGGAGAGCAAAAAGAACTCAGACAGCACAGCAAAAAATACACAGATGCTCAATATTCTGCAGCTGAACATCTGTGGAATAAGAAATAAGAAACTTGAACTTGCCAAACTGCTAAACAACCACAGGGTACACGTGGCTGCCCTACAAGAAACCCTGCATAAAGACTCTGATCTGCATCTCACTGGATATACTAGTTATGCCTGTAAGTGCAATGACTGCCGGGGCATAGTGACCTATATCAGAAATGACATACAAGGAGATGTAACAATGCTGTCGACATCTCACCCTACAGATGTGCAAAAAATAACTATCTGGCACAATGGAAGCAAATATACGATATACAACGTGTACAGCCCACCTCAGACAACATGCAACATACCAGAACTATACAAGACACAGTACCATAAAACCCTTCTTGTTGGTGACTTCAACGGACACTCGCCACGTTGGGGTTACCCTGACTACAATAGCACAGGGAAGTACATCGAAGATACTTGTGAAACAACTAACCTATTAGTGCTGCAGGACACAGAGTCTACACCTACACTGTTACACAGGGCCCACCTATCTCTCAGCAGACCAGACCTGACCATCTGCTCATCCGACTTAGCAGACGCAAGCTATCCCCAAGTCCTGGACGACATAGGAAGTGACCACAAACCTATACTCACAACTGTAAGCACCACCCCCTAAATTACGCTTCAAGCAGAGAACCCGTTGGAATTTCCGAAAAGCAAACTGGAAACTATTTCAGGAAACATCTGACTGCCTCCTGGGAAGAATTGACAACAGCTGTGTGGAAACTTTTTGTGAAGACATAACACAAGCAATCCTGAATGCAGCGTCGAAAGCCATCCCAAGGGGCAGCCGGATGGCATATAAACCTTTTTGGAATCAAGAAATTCAAAATACTATATCTGAAAGGAATAAAGCAAGAATATTTCTCGAAACTGCACGTTCAACAGAAGCAAAGATCCAATACAATAAAGCATGTGCCAGAGTAAAGCTTGTAGTTAATAAGGCTAAAAGAGATAAATGGACAGAAACTTGCTCCAACTTAGACCTTAGACAGAATGGAAATAAAGCATGGACTTTAGTTAAAAACCTCTCCGGAGAAAGTAGAAGGGTGAACCCAAAACCAGTGACAGATGGGAATAAAACAATCACTGAAGACAAGAAGAAAGCAGAACATTTCAATCATTATTTTGCTTCAGTTAACAGAGCAGGTAAGCTGTCAGAACTCAATAGAACACAGCTCTCTCAGTTAAAGAAACAAGAGAGAGCTCCAACAGCCAGCGACTCCCTTTTTGAAAATGAATTTAGCATGGATGAACTAGAGCAAGCCCTGAAGAAATTAAAACCTAGAAAATCTCCAGGCCCAGATAAGATCCACAACGAAATGAAACTACATCTTGGCCGGTCTGGGAGAGAAGTAGTTCTCAGGCTTATTAATAAAACTTGGAGGTCAAGCAAACTTCCAAGGGCATGGAGGAATGCATATATCGTCCCCATCCTTAAAACCAAAAAGCCTCCAGATGACCCCAAAAGCTACCGCCCGATATCCTTAACATCATGCTTGGGCAAAGTTGCAGAAAGAATGATAAACAGGCGCTTATATTGGTTCCGTGAGAGTTCTGGTGTTCTATGCCATGAACAGGCAGGCTTCAGAACCAACAGCTGCACAGAAGACCAGCTGTTCAGACTGACACAAAGAATACATGATGGCTTCCAGAATAAGAAACACACAGTGGCAGTCTTTGTCGACCTCCAGCAGGCCTATGACAGAGTATGGAGAAAAAATCTCCTGATGAAGATGATGAGCATAGGAATACATGGCAGATTGTATAACTGGGTCAAATACTTCCTGATAGATAGAACAATCCAGACTAAGATGCACAACGCAATCTCTTCTAAAGAAGTCTTGGAGGAGGGCTTGCCACAAGGCTCATCATTGAGCTGTACACTATTCCTAATCTTTATCAATGACCTGCCAGAACAAATCAAGGCCGAAAAAGCTTTGTACGCTGATGACCTAGCAATATGGCAGAGTCATGAAAATGTGGAAAGTGGAGCCCAAAGACTGAATGGAGACCTTAGAAGACTGCATGATTACTGCCAAAGATGGAAACTCAAGATTAACTGTGCAAAGACGGTCTACACAATCTTTACCAAAAGCCACCAAGTAGCAAGGAAGAATATTAACCTGAGGTTAGACAAACACCAAGTGATAAAAGAAGAGCATCCCACATACCTTGGAGTCACACTTGACCCGCAGCTCAGCCTCAAGAACCATATTGAAAACATCAGGAATAAGGCATTGAGGCGGTTACAGTTATTAAAGAGACTTGGGGATCAGACAAGGAAACTCTGAGGGGCTTATACCTAGGATATGTTCGCTCTGTGATAGAGTACAACAACTCACTGCTTACAACTTGTTCCAAAACTAACCTAGAGACTCTTGACAGAGTACAAAATAATGCCCTCCGATTAATCTGCGGAGCTATGCAGTCTACACCAACTGCTGCATGTGAAATCCATACAAATGTGGAACCCCTCGGGTTGCGGAGAGAAAAAGCCACTTTAGAAATTTATGAAAGATGCGTTAGGAAAAATCGTAACCATCCTAATAGACATCTTGTAGAAAACTGGGAACCCAAACAATTCAGGACAGATACCACCTCCCAGAAAGACGTCAAGGAATTCAGAATGTTGCAAAAAACCTACCACCACATGCTCGCTTTAAAGCTCCAGAAGTCCAAACTAAATTGGTAGGCGAGGAAACCAAACAGTCCGACCCAATCGCTCTTATGAACTCATCACTAAAGACCGTTGATTCTTACCCCCAAGAATGGATACATGTCTATACTGATGGATCAGCATTTAAAGCTACCATTAAAGCAGGTTACGGAATCTACATAGGTTATCCCGATGGATCTGTTGAAGAGATTTTTGATGCATGCGGGGAATTCTGTTCAAACTATGAAGCTGAAATAATTGCACTGGAAACAGCAGTATACCACCTAAAGACTGTAATGGATGTTTACCCCTCAAAGGTCCAAAATATTGTCATCTTCACAGATTCAATGTCTGCCCTTCAAGCTCTGGAGGGCAATGAACGCTGCAGAACTGACATAGCCAAGATAATCCTGGATGCCGATCAGCTTATTACCTCATACAACATCAGAATAGTGATGCAGTGGATTCCAGGTCACTCCGGCACACCAGGTAATGACAGAGCTGACAGATTGGCAAAGAAAGGAGCAACACAAGAACAACCACCTACAGCGACAACCCTCCAGACAGCAAAAACACTGATAAGAGCTATAAACAAAGAGACTTGGTTGAACAGATGGGCCATGGGAGACACTGGAAGAGAGGTTTATAGACATATGTCTGGCCCTGATCCTAATGACAGCATTAACCATCTAACAAGAAGGGACCAGGCCACCATCTTCAGACTTAGAACGCAACATACTCCACTCAATGGACACCTAAACAGAATTCAGCCACAACACTCCCCAGAGTGCCAGCTATGTAACTACCCCTACGAAACTGTTGAACACCATCTCTTTGAGTGCCCAAAACTCAGTGAGACAAGAAGAACGCTACTCCCTCCGAGACCAGACAAGTGGAACACCTTGTACGGAGGAAAAGAACAGCTTGTGAAAACATGCAAATTCCACTACATGGCATTGGGCCAAAGGGCGAAAGCTCATGCGCCGCTGGATCGATAACAACAACAACAAGAGGAAAATAAAACCCAATTGATGACAGTTGTTAGGACACACTGAAACACTTCCCATCCAGGAAACAATCCTAAAGATCCAATCAGCCTCCTCCTATAAAAGCAACAAACCAATGTATTTAGACTGCAAACTGGACAAAACAACTCCACCACAATATGTCAATGAAATTCAAGTCTGGCAACTCAGAACTCTGTCCATGTGGACAGGCACCATCAAATAATGAACTGGTGTGGCACACATGCTCTGTAGTTGAGAGATTCTGGGTTGGTTAGCTAGTGTTCCTGTGGAGACCAAGTTGTATGGATCAGTGAGGTACATGTGTCACAACACAGCCTTCATAGAGACATGCTGCCTTCTAATCTAAAAATCACTAGCAGGGAGACAGAAAAAAAGAAAATACAAATGACCAAACCTCAATGCAATAAAAGGAACCCCTGCCTACATTCATAGAAAAACTGAGTACACTTCAGTTCAAACATAACAAATTTAATTAAATTGACTAGTCACAACAAAAATGACTCCCTTAGAATAATAAGATGGTCTGATAAAGGCTGTGAACTAAACTAGAAGAGATAGTGTGAGAAATAAATTGATTAAAAGAACTGTTGGAACAATAGCCATCATTCACTTCACTGAGAAACAAAGACTGGCAGGAATGGATTGGCTGCCTAGTTAGAATGAATCCAAACATACCAGCAAAAACATGCAACATGAAAATGAAAACACCACTAGGCAGAGGGAGACCCAGAAGAAGATGGATCAAAGGGGTCACTGTCTGTTAAAGTGCAATGCCTAGCAGCATAAAACAGATACTGACAAAAGAAGAAGAAGAAACTACCAATCAATTCAACCACAACAGCAATAATTACACAGATACAATCACAAGGCAACTGGATATCAATGTAAACATTAACACCAATAAAAACAAAAACACAAACTTACTTGATGAAAAAAGGCACTTTGTTTCTAGCAACTGCCCGCTCCCAGGGAGCTTCCACTGACTCTAATAATAGAATTCATAGGTTTTAATCAACTCATTGTTTTTTAATCAAGTCATAATTGATCATCATCTTATAGCAGTTGTTCAACTTTAAAATGGTTTTTCAACTTAAGGTTGACACTCAAATTATGATTTTTGATTAACTCTGTTACAGTCAATTAACTCTGTTACTGTTGGTCAGCTCTGTTACTGTTGGTCAACTTTGTTACTATTGGTAAACTCTGTTACTATTATATTGGTCAATGCATGACTGTCAGTTAACTCTATTATTATAGGTCTTCTATCACTGTTGGTCAACTTGTAACTGTTAGTCAACTAACACAGCAAAACATCAAAATAATAAATCTGACTCAGTCCAAATATAAAGTTTCAAAATTGATACAGCTGAAACCTAAATTTTAAAATCTTGAAACATTAAGCGGAGGGTCTTCAAACATCAAGCTTAACATAGATATCAATCACACGAGCGGCATGTATCTCCTCCTATCACTTTCCCTTATAAACATCAGTCTAGTTTAGTGATTTTCACAATATGAGGTACTGCCACAAGAGTCCTGGAGGAGAGGGTAGCTTGAAGATTCAGTCAAAACCAGTCACATGTTTGGATGCACTTCTCAGTTAGAAGACACCGGAAATCCCTATGAGGAAATCAACCCTTAAAGCTTAGTTGACCTCCTTACATAAAAGCTACACATCATTCTACAGTGAAACCTCAGGATACAGATTTCCTATGTTCCCTCATGGAGCTTGTATGGTAAATACTGTATCCTAAAACTATATGTCCCATTTAAATTAATGTACATAACTTTAATTTGTTCCAGCCCTCCAAAAATCACCCTGTTAGTTTCCAAATGATATTTATCTTTTCGCTAACAGTGACATTGTGTGGCAGTTTTTTGTGTGTTTTTGCCAGCAGTGGAAAATGGGATTACATTTGACCAAGATGCTACAGTCCACCATCATCAAGTGCCTTGTCGACTGGCATCAGTCCTCCTTCGGCATTATTAACGTGACTTAATCCATTTAAAAGTTATCAAGATGCTGCTGGGTAATGTCAAGAGTTCTCATTTCTCCAGCTCACATCCTGAATTTTACATCGTATTCTGGGGGAAAATAAACTAGTGAGCCTGACCTGGTGTCCTGAAAAACTTGAGGTTACACTGTATTTAGATTGTGAACTGACACAAGAGACTGCACAAGAAATTCAAGATCAGGGACTCAGAGCTCTGCACATGCAGCCAGCACAACACAATACTGAACATGTGACACAGACAAGCATTTTGGTGAGAACCAAGCTGCATGGAGCAGTGGAGATCGTATCACACCACTCTCTTCTTAGAGGTCTGTGGCCTTCTCATCTGAAAACCACCAGGTAGGGAGAAGGAAAAGAAGAAGAAGAGAAAGAAATACTTTTCAACAAAGAAACAGAAAAAAAAAAAGATTTTGCTGCAGTGTGGAGTTCAAAGCCTTGACATACTGTAAAGTAAAAGACAATTTTTACGCTAACGATGCTAGATTCATATTTGTATAGACCAATCCGAACTGATGGGTGATGTAGTGAACATCATGCCTGCCACATTTACTGCCCAGGAAATTTCCTAATATTTAATTTAGGTTGGGCAGCCACTGTGGTGTAGCTGCTAGAGGCTCACACGCAGATCCAAAGGTAATGGGTTTGAATCAAAACGGAGCTAGGCTTTTAAAAAAAAATTATGACCTTGGCTGTCAGGTTGACCCAGCCCTAAATGGGTACCTTTTAATGTCCTGGAAAGTAAAGGCTGCCAGCGGATGATGACCATATCACCCACTGAGTGTCAGTTGGTCCATAAAATACAGGTCTGGCCCTATGTGCCTGATGGTCTGGGACAGGGTCCTCTAATTGACTACTATATTAAGCTGGCTTGACCTGGGAGCCAACTCCGCTAAGACCGGTCCCAAGCCCGGCTGTAAAAGGAGGAGGGTCTGGCTGAACCTGAGTGCTTCATGTGTCTCCTGCACGGAGGCCCCAAGGAGGCAGCCCCTCCACCATGCAAAGGCACAACAGGCAAATCACCTGTTTGCCTTAAACCACGATTACAAGTAACTACAAAGAGAAAACTGGACGGATCTTAACGGCAACGAACTGGCATGGCTTACGGACTACGATTTATGGAACATGGAATATAAGAGGCATTAAGGGAAAGGAAAACGAGTTAGTAGGTTAGATGAGGAAAGCAAAATTAGGAGTCTTGGCTCTGACTGAAACCAAGAAAAAGGGGCAAGGAATCACAGATCACGATGGAAGTATGCTGCTCCAAAGTGGTGTCCCTATGACGGAGAGAGCCAAGGGAGGTGTTGGCTGTATTGTGGCCAGGAATCAAGTTAGTAACATCAAGGGATGGAAATTCATCTCAGAGCGTATAATGGTGTTAGATCTGAAAGAAGAAGATAAAATTGTCAATTTTGTCATTGTGTACGGGCCAAATGAAGATGAGCGAGTAGATGTTAAAGAAGAATTCTTTGAACTGCTCCAAAGGACCATAGATGACTGTCACGATGAAATTATCCTCCTAGGAGATCTAAATGCCAGAGTAGGAAATGATCACTCTAGATGGGGTGGAGTGATCGGGAGATATGGTGAAGATGTTTTGAATGATAATGGCAAGACTTCTCAGATTCTGCAGGGAACAGAACCTTGTCATTACAAACACAAAATTTCCTCCACAAGCGTATACATGCATACACAAGATGTGAACCTTCAAAAAATGAAAAATCCATCATTGACTACGCCAAAGTTAGGAAAAGTTCATTCAAGTTTGTGAGAGATGCCAGAGTCATGAGAGGACCAGAGATTGGAAGTGACCACTATCTGGTCACAATAAAGAGAACAACTGAAAGAACTGCTCCAACAAGGCAACACCGACAACCGTGCAAGAAACCAAGCAACCAAGAAGGGATGAGGATTAAAGCAATCAAGCTAAGAGAGCCAGATATTAAGGGTAGATACCAGGAGCTAATAGTGAAAGCAATAGGAACTGAAGAAGAATCATCAGAGGACACTGAAACCCTCTGGTGCAGATTCAAGAATATCCTCACAGCAGCTGCAGTAGAAGCATGTGGTGAAGTCCCGAGTGGAAGGCGGGGACATAGGACACCTTGGTGGACGGAAGAAGTCAAATTGAAAATAGGAGAAAAGAAAAGGGCATGGAAGCAATACCTGGCAGCCAGGAACACAGCTGAAGAAATAGAAAAATATAAACAATATGTGGCACTCAGAACAGAGACCAAAAATATTGTGCTTAAAGCAAAACAGAAATCATGGGAAGAGTTTGGAGAAAAGTTGGAAAAGAATGCAAGAGAAAACCAAAAACTGTTCTACAAGACCCTTAAGAACATGAGGAAGGAGAAAGAATGCTCACTTAAATTCATAAAAGACAAGGAAGGGGCTCTGCTTACTTCTACAAATGATATCATGGGCAGATGGAAAGAATACTTCTCAGAGCTCCTCGGCGTTGAGGGAAGTCATGACCCAGAAATAATGGACCTCACTGCTGAGAAGGAATTCAATCATGGGGAAGATAACATCAGGATGGAAGAATTGAAGGCAGCTATTGAGAAGATTAAGCTGGGAAAAGCAGCAGGTCATGATGGTATAACACCAGAGATGGTCAAATATATGGGAGCCGAAGGTGAGCGCCTTCTACTGAAGGTTCTCCAGGCAGCCTGGTGTAGCAAAACTATACCAAAAGATTGGGAGATTGCCATCATTATACCTATATTAAAAAAAGGTGATAACAGACAATGTGAAAACCACAGAGGCATATCCCTCCTCAGCGTTCCAGGTAAAAGTTACTCTAGAATTCTTGAGCAGAGACTTAGAAGTCTGGTAGAGCCACAGCTGGACGAGGCCCAATGCGGCTTCAGAGCAAACCGAAGTACTCAAGACCTTATCTTCATACTGAGACAGATGAGTGAAAAAGCCCTGAAATATAAGAGTGAGATGCACTTATGTTTTTTGGATCTGGAAAAGGCATTTGACAAGGTACCCTGGAACAAGCTCTGGGACTGCTTGGCAGGGAAAAACATCCCAGCACCCCTGATCAGTGCAATACAGAGTTTCTACAAAAGGTGCAGAAATTATGTAAGAACAGCAGACCAAAAGTCAGAAGAATTCAAGACCGCCAGCGGTGTTAGACAAGGTGATATTCTCTCACCTTACCTCTTCATTCTTATGATGGATGATGTCATCAAGACCTGTAAGGAGAAGACAAAGAAGTACTCTGTAGGGTACTGGAAGATGAGACCAATCTGTATATCAGAGCTGGCTTTTGCAGACGATGTGGCCCTGATATCTAAATCAGAGGCACACCTTCAGTCCAACTTACTTGTCTGGAAGGAAGAGCTTGAAAAGAAAGGTATGACCATCAGTATCTCCAAAACTAAAACCATGGTGATCTCAAGAGAGGAGAAGAAACACCAGATCATGATGGGACAGTATGCATTGGAGCAGGTTAACCAGTTCAAATACCTTGAAGTTGTACTTGACCAAAACGGAAGCATTAAGACTGAGCTGGCTACACGAAAAGCAGCTGCTGGGAGACTCTTCCAGGCCATAAACCGAGGGTTTCTTAGCAAAAGAGAAATTGGCAAGAGGACGAAAATGGCTGTTTACCGCTCTACCTATGTACCAGTCCTGACCTATGGGTGTGAGTCATGGGCAATGACAACAGCTCACAGAAGCCAGCTGCAGGCCTCGGAAATGAGATACCTGAGAAAGGTGGTCCAAGTGACAAGAAGGGACAAAGTCCGCAATCAGACAATACGTCAAGATCTTGATACCCAGCCCTTACTAACCCGAGTAGATCAGTCACAGTTACGATGGTTTGGACATGTATGCAGAATGGGAGAAAATCGGCCACCATGGCAAGCATGGGAGGCTAAGAACCAGGGAACCAGACCTCCGGGATGACCCAGGGTGCGCTGGGAAGACAACATCCGATAGTCCCTAACTGACAGAGGACTGGAATGGAACAAAGCTAGAAAGAAAACTGCGGATAGAGACGTCTGGCGATCTCTCTGGCAAACCTCTACACCCCAAGGTAGAAGAGGAGCGACTAAGTAAGTAAGTAAGACCTGGGAGCCAGGGTCAAGTTTCAGAATCAGATCCACCTCAATGTGTATCTGAACTCTATATCCAGTGAACGAGTGTCTGGCTGCTGTGCTACGACAGCTCTCTACATATTCTAAGCTTCATTACCATCCAGTTTCCCTTTCCCTATCCAGTTCCTTACTGTTAAACTTTTCTTTCCCCAAAATTGTGGAAAATCTGAAAATTGTGCAGTAGTTATATTAAAGTACACATCCGATGTGTCCTGAGCACATTTTTCTCGTAGAAAGTCTTGCTCAGAAAAAAGTTTAGAACCACCGGATTAGTATCACTAATGCATTTCCGTTGAAAAGCAGGATGTGCCACTGAACTAAAAGTGCAATAGCCATGGGCAAATTGTCATTAACATGAGATCAATGAAACAAAACGTGACACAGAAATGTAACCTGCCACAATATTGATTCATCCCAAAGACACAATCACCAGGGGGAGGTAATTTTACAGGGAAATAATTACAGAACACAGTAGGATATTGTCAGAAGTAAAAGCAGAAATAATCTTTCATCTCAGAATGGAATATAGGCCTCAGAAATCTATACTAAGGTATGTCCTGCAGCTCCTTTCATGTGTTCCCATATTATGCAACTGTGTCTTTAATTCTCTTCTCTGTAAGTTTTTGGGTCTGCAGGTGATTTTGTTGTTGTTGTTGTTGCCTTGTAGGTTCCAGAGAAATGATTTCCTAGTTACATTAAACTCATAATCTCATCATCCCCTTGTGGGATGCAATTCTTAGCTATTTTGAAGCCCCAACCTGGCTTATGCCAGGGGCCTTAAATATAGCTGGGCCTGAAATATGGCCAAATGGCTGAACAGGGTTTCCAGGACCTTTCCACGGGTGATCCTCATCCGGATGGTGGCACTTTGTGTCATCGGGTGTTTATCGCTTGTGCGATGTCTTGGTGGGGTACAACTTACATACATACATTCCTAGATATACAATTTAAATTACATAATTCACCTGAACCAACGCAGGACTTCAGGGTACACCGGACAGGTGTAGCCATCACAGGTACCCTATTTATTATTTCTTTTATAGTTGAACAAGATGTCTGAGATTTGCCTTCATCAGCCAGATTGTAATTTTAGGCTAGTCAAACTTTCATGTACAGTCCAGAGGGGGATCAATGTAAGGAAGTGCAATTAACGGATCTCCTAACTCTAATGTCTTATCTTCCTTCTTCGGTCATTGGCGTTTGTTTCGGGAACTCCACACTGGTTATTCTTTTGTGTAATTTTAACATGTCTCTCTCTGGGCAGGTATCATTTAATGAATGTTTTTAGTTTATTCACCTGCAAGTGAGTTAATAAAGCAAAAATTCTGAGAACATGCAAATTTTATGTGACAACTTATGGACTGGACTCTTGAAGAAAAAAATCAGAGCTTTTGAAATTAAAGTTTACAGAAAAATCCTTAAAATACTTCAAGCACAACACATCAAATTTCAGCAAAGCGCTTTTAAAAATTAGTTGCATATCCTCTACAGTATTTTGCAGAACCAACCCCAGCAGGTTTTGGTGGCTTGTGATATCACTAGGCAATTTTATGTAATTAGGTCACTTTGAACAACATGCCTGTTGGGGGAACAACATGCCTGTTGGGGGGAAAGTGGGGGAGTGGGTCTATTGTACTTGTGCCCCTCAAATGAAACCCCACAACCCACATGATGAAACAGACACAATGAAACTAGCATCCTTTTCCATAGGGGGAAAAATGTATAATATCAAAAGAATTTCAAAGACATCATATCTTACCCCTCTTCAATCTTATAATCATCAGTAAAATAATCATTATGTACTTAAGTGGGTCCATTTTTTCTAGAGAAGCTAGGCTTACCTGCAAGAAAATGCTGTGAGTTTGGACCATAAGCCATGAGAGCTTCTTGCAGATACTGCAACCTGTTGCTCATCATCTGTCGCAAGCATTCCCATCTGACAAGGGAGATAACTGTTATTAGTATTTGCCAGTATTTCAGATTACATGTTCTTTAAAGAAAAAAAATTATATTAAAGTTTGTCATTGGCCCTCATTTTGTGAAGCAGATTAGGATGACCTCTTTTATGAGAGCCTTCCAAAGTAGCAGACACTTACTCCAGACAGAACTACATGAAAACAACTCACTCCCACCTCACTTACTTGAAACAAAACTACGAAGAAACTCACCAACCTCTCACTACTGCCAGACAGAACTACAAGAAATCAACCCACCCACTCCTCACTGACCCAATCAGAACTACAAAAGATCAACCCACTCACCCCTCATAGACTTGAGACAGAACTACAAACACATCAAGCCACCAACGCACTCACTGACTCAGACAGAACTAAAAAAGACCAGCCAACCCATCCCCTCACTGATTTAGACAGAACTACACAAGACCAACCAACCCACACCCTCACTGACTCAGACAGATCGACAAAATACAAACCCACCCACCTCTGAGTAAAGTCCTCTAGTCGATGTACATTATGATGAGAAAGAATAACGTCAGCTTCTTGCAATCTGTTGGCCTGCTCTGTGACATCATCTACTCTTTCCTGAAGTGAATATCTCAGCTGGAAGTTCTAGACAGAGCATATACATATATAGAAGTATGCAGGTCAATTAATGGAAGCGCGCGCGCACATAAGTGCGTGCGTGGGTGGGTGTGTGTATGTGTGCGCATGCATGTGCATGCATGCATGTGTCTTTTTTCTCTCACATTATTTCCTGTTATTCCTTATGTTGTTATTCCTCCTGATATTTCTCATGTCTTTGCTAATTTTTTCCTCATGTTATTTCTTGAATAAATTCTCGTATTATTCTCCTCATTATTTCTCACACTATCTTGCTTGTTATTTACATATATTTTTTTTTGTTATTTATTTTGTTATTTCTTATGTTTTTTAAATTAATTTCCCAGGTTCTCATGTTATTCCTAGTGTTATTTCCTGTATTATTTCCTATATCTTCCTGGTTATTCCTCATGTTATTTCAAGGCCTAAAGAGTCTCTTGGAAACTTTATTTCTGCACTTGTCATGGAAACCCGTCTGTACTTCTGCCACAGTTTTATGTTTTATTCTTCAACTTGTATAAATTCTTCTTCTTCTTCCGTTCGCTTGAAAAAAATTATCTATATCTGCAATGCTGTTTCTAGTATGAACTTTACTGTCTTTTGTAATTCACTCAGCGGCCCGTAAAGTTTGGCTTCCACAAGTGTCTCTTTTGGCCAGAAGTTTTGACTGGAAGTGTTAAATCTGGGACAGTCTTGGAGGATGTGATCTGTTGTCTCAGGTGCCAGTCCACAGGTACACATGGCTGATTCACTAATCCTAAATTTTGTGTACATGTGGCAGCGAATCGATTGTGCCCTGTTCTAAAGTGAAGGATAATGACTTGCTCTGCTCTGTCCATTATATGGTAATCCTCTTGTGCCAGTTTCAATGGCTTTTTGATTGATTTGATTATTCTCTTCTTCTGTTGATAAAAGACTGGTATGTCGGGTTGCTCTTCAGTTGCACATTCCTTAGCTAATTAATCAGCACTTTCGTTTACGGGAACTCCACAGTGGGAAGGTATCCACTGCATAACTAAATTACAACTGTTGCCTAGTTCCGATAATAGTGTCCGTATACTTGGTAAGTTTCCAGACTAGAGTGTCTGAAGTACCGCTTTTGCATCTGTCTGGAATATTACTAGTTGTGAAAAATACCCGGTATTTATAGTTTCTCTACCGCTATCTTGATGGTTTGAACTTCTGCATCATAGTTGTGACAGTGCTACTTGTGTAAATGATTCCTGAATGCCAGATGTTTACAATACTGAAGCTAAATTACAACAATTAGCCATACCTTAGTTCGGTCTATTTCCATCTGCAGCTCTCCTATGATGATGTCTCCTACATTTGGCCAGTCCTTTACCTCTCTCTCTGCTGCAACCAGACGATCCTGCAGGCTTTCCATGGAATCATGAAACATCCCCATCAGCTGCAGACAGCAACAAACAATTTATACCATGAGCACTGTGCAAATAAATAAACTAGAAACATTACTTACGTAGACTACTGGGAACTCTAATTCTTCTAAATATTATGGCGATGGATGAATGAATGAATATGTAATCTTTCTAAAAAAAAATAATGAAATAGTGATAGAATGATTGCATGAATGAATGGTTGAATGTATGCTCGTTATTGCTAGTGACCTCCTGACTGAAAGCTCACCTACCCTTGTTTTGTAACAAGCATTAATGTTATTTTAATGTCAAATCAGAACTGCTGTACAAAGCCAAAACTTTGAGAACAAATAAAACAGTTACAAATAAACTACAAGCATTCATTAAAATGTGCATAAGCATAATAATTGACACAATTATGTAACCAGAATACGAGGATTGCCTCTTTCTGGCATTTGTCTTCAAGCCCTTGTCTCTTTCAAAACATCTGGATTACTCAATTTGGAATAAAAAAAATTTGTTTTTAAAGAGAATTCTTCTGTAAAGCCACATCTCTGAATCCTTAGGAAAATGGTTTGTGTGCCAACTGTGAACTAATAATCTTATCAGTTAACTGGTAGTATTTCTGGGTCATTCTTGACTCAAAAATCTTGCCGTTTCTTTGACAGTGTGTATCATCATATTTACTTAGGTATCATTTCTTTTATTACAGTTATTAATGAGATAAAGATCTGATGTCATGACATTTAAACATGTCTCACCTCCACCACTTGTTCCAGTTTGGCATGCCACTGTGTGCAGCTGTGGCTAAGATCTAACCACTTCCTATACAGCAGACGCATCAGTTTTCTGATCTTGCAAATCAGATGATCAGCTTCCTCTTCACCTTCATCTGTTTAACAAATGATTGATTACATCAGTTACCAACAAAGAAAGATTTATAATATAGTCTTACAATCAAAGATAATCCCAAATTAAAGCATAATTATTTTAACACATTTTTATCTTACTAAATATGAATAATTGACAAATTTCTCCCCAAAATAATTAAATGATTAATTAAATAATTAATAATTACATTTTTAATTATTTTAGTTTTTTATCATCTACCCTGGCATACAGATGTCCCTCATGGTTTTTTTGACGAAATCACATACATTATTTTTTCCTGTTCAACAATCAACATTTGCCGTGTCCGTCCTGACATGGATCATGAACATGACTGGAGATCAGCACTTTGTCGCCACAATGTGACATTTGGAGTTATCATTGTGAGCTAGATGATTTCTATTCTCCATCTAGAAAATTATTTACCCAGTCTTGTAGGCTTATCCCTATCAGCCAGATTTGTATTGTCTGTCTGGTAAATTCAAGCCAGCATTGTGGGGCTTGCTCCAGAGACTTCTCTGGTGCTCCACAGCTACTACTCTGAGAGCCTTTGAGATCCTTTCTGTAAAGGTTTGTTCCATGTTCACAAAACTCAGTTTTGATTATGAACTTTCTGGTGTTCTGGTTCTGATAGATTATCAAATCCTCTCAAAAACTTTTAGAGAACCTGATAAAAAGGAAGCATAATCAAAAAATCAAAAAATGCTGACACAAACATTACATTGCACAATTTATTGCCAGGCATATTTCACTACATCTCATTGGATGCATTACTACAGATTTGCATCAACAATTTATCAAAAGAGACCATGTGATGTGTATTTCGGTGGAATTAATTCCGTTTTTGCGCTTACATTAAATGTTGATGCAACTGTAGAAACGCAGCTGATAAGAGAGTGAAATATGCTTGGCATAAAATGTGCAATGTACTGTTGTGTCCCCATTATTTAAATTCACTATAGGAAAACATTGTTATAAATAATGAAGAAGGATCAAAAGCCCTCTAACCTGCACTCTCTCCTCCACTGTCAAAGCTGGCATTTTCAGCATCCTCATGAAGGTAGACTTTTCCTGCCTCCAGACATTGTTGAATTAGAGGCCTTTTCATCTCCAGCTGCTGCTGCAACCGCTGCACAAACAAAGCAAATTTGTGCTGTAGGTCAGTAAATATTCTTTCTTCCTTCATCTTCTGCTTCTTTAGCCATCAAGAAAGCACAAGTCCTTAATTCCATCAGTGTCCGATGAATGATCAAACTTTATTTTCAAATGGTTCAGAATAGGACACCCAGGCCAATCTAACATTCTGCCCTTTTTAACCTTTCAAAAAATGATTCATTTCATATATCTCTTAATAGGTGATAATGAACATCAGTGAAATTAACTAGTAATTCCACTGGATTGTGTTTGAATTATGCCAACATTTCTGAAAAATGATCAACCATACTATGGTAAATGTGGATAAATCTAGGGGGAAATTTGACATATGCTTAAAATACTATTACCTTTCTTGCTGGCAAAATCTGTAGTGAGATAATTTCAAACAATTTCTGATTAAATGTAAAGGGGGTTACTGGTATTTGCTTTTTTCTGTAGAAGATGGCTCCAATGAGCTGTAGAACATGCTAAGCTTGTTTTTCATAGGTCTGTCCTAGGCTTAGGGATATGCAATAAGTTTAGGCATTAGCTATGTCTTTTATTATATTTAAACATTGGCCAAAGGTCGTCGGGAGCATTTTTAGATAAGACTGCATGAATAATTTTAGCATTATTAATAAGTAGGCATCTGTGCAGCTGTAATAGCATTAACCCTACCAGACCGCTGGCCCGATTTTTCGGGAATTTCCTAACCTGCGGCTAAACCGCTGGCCCCATTTTCCGGGAATTTACGTAGTATGTGAAAAATATGCGTCACAGACTAAAAATAACCAGCCAATCAGACTTCGTTGTTAGTCATTGCAAATGACTTCCCACCTGTGTTGAGATTTCTTTGTGTGGTTTGATGGGAAAAAAAATTCGGAAAATTCTCAATGAAATGAGCGACTTCGACAAGAAAGTGACGTAGGTCTAGGTTTTTCATAGTTCAACAGGTGATCGATACTTTGGTTAATTCAGACTGTAAATACGTTTATGAAGAATACGTTCCCAGTTGAAGTGACACAGTCAGTGAGAGCTAGAGTGAGGAGGAGAATTATGAAAATTATAGATTTAAAACTAGATACATAGTAAGAGAAGGGGGCGTGTCCCTCAAACAGCAACATCTGGTGCTTACTTTGTGAAACAAGACTGATCCTACTAGGTGGACTGGCACACAAAGGTGGAAGATTGGCGCTAGATGAAAGGTAAACCTATTTTCTACAATGTCTCCAAGTTGTATCTTATTCTAACCACTTGTTTGCATGTAACTAATTTTTTTGTGTACATCATGTTGGTTTTTTGGTGTTAGTGCCAGGGAACTCAGGTTTTAGGGACAGTTAGGTTCAGGGCCTCAGGTCTGGTAGGGTTAAAGCAGCCATGGTGGCACCATGGCTGGATGCTCACCTGCTGATTTGAATCCACATCGAGATGGACCCACCAAAAAAGAAAAAGGGGTATCCAGTCTAAAACTGGTGCCAGGCAAAGTCCTGGAAAATAACGCCCTGGGAAGTAAAGGCAACTTAGATGATGTTGACCGCATCACCAACTGTGTGCCAATTGTCTACAAAAATATGACTCTAACTAACCCACCACACCACTGGCAAAAAAAAGGTGTTCTAGCTAATTTTTTTCTAACCTAATAGGATAAAATATTTGTATACACTGGAACTGTGTCTTCCATGATTATTACCTATGAAGCCTACAGCCCATCTTTGAAGTGATTTTCCTTTACGATTTAATTAAAACAGACACCTTATATTAAGCAGCAATAGTCTATGTGGCTTCGGACATATGGGGTATACATTAGACATCTAGTGTTTTCACAAAAGAAGTTTTTAAATTGTTTTTTAGCTCTTTGTTTAAAAAATGCTTGTTCATAAGAAATAACCTATTACTTTCTGTGTTTGTTTGTCCCATCTTCCCCCTTGCTGAGTTTCCAAGCCCCATTTTGTATAAGTGAATTCATTTCTCAGAAAGAAAAGAGCCTGACCGACCAATGAGAGCTATACTTACATAACTTTCCACAATCTGCCGCTGGATGCTAGTAAAATCTCCTCCGATTGGCTGCTGCTGCTTCAGTTCCAACTGTCTGGCATTCAGCCAGGTGACAAGTGACTTCAATGTCTTTATCAACCTGGACCAGTATTCTGTGTTGTTTTCCAATCGACCTCTGAAGTAGGATAACAATTTGGCAAAATTATTGAAAGTATGACATCGTAGTATGTGTTTGTTTGTCAGTAGTTTGTCTGTTTGCATGTAAATTGTGCATCTGTATGTGAACTGATTATTTGTTTCACAATAGTGAATAAAACACCTTGTGTTACTAATGATTCTCTCTTTAGTTCACATTTTCTCTACTTCTATCTTGTAATGCAGAAGTATTTTGAAGACTTGTTTTGTCTTTTCTTCTCTACACTGGGAAGTAGGAACACCTGAAAACTTTCGCCCGGCGAATGCCAATGGTATGAGCCATGAACCCGTACGATTTCTCCCCAAAAATCTTTTAAAATAAAACAACTATTTTACACAGGTAACTAATAATAGTTTAAATAGATATATAAAGGAAGTAATTAATAAACAAGAACAGAGCAAAGCAAAAAATGAAATATGCATCGGGTGACTCATGCCATGACCCCGTGACCTAAATTAGTATTGTTTACCATAAATTTTAAGTCAACCTGACTTCAAAATAGCTATTGGATTTACAAGAAAACCCCTGTAAATGTTAGTATTAATATATTTTTATCCTGGCCTCCTAAACACCACATAGGTGCACACAGAACCAATGGCAATTAAATGCTTTTTGAGAACAGGTAGCTGCAGAAATAGAGACATATCTGCATTTATGGGTCTGTGTCACAGCTGGAGGGGACCAGATTTGCCTTCTCAGGGACCTGATTAGTCTTTTCACTTTCCCACGGTGTGTAGAGGCAGCTTACAGTCTTGCTTATACTTTCCTCTACTATCATGGCTGTTCAGACACTTTATGTCTCATTTAGTCATTTCCTGGGAGTAAACACAACATTGTTTAAACATTTTACTTCTACCCTAAAGCACTGAGATAAATTACAGTGCAGTTTTATACCACCACAACTCCCCTTCACCATTTTTGTTCCTTCACTCTCTCTCTCTGTTTTCCTCTCACATGCTCTCTCAGTCTCTCCCTCCAACTCTCTCCTCTGGATGACAATGGACCATTGTGATGGCAAGCCAACACAAGAATCACTAAGCCACCTCAGGTGCATTAAATGTGACATTTCAGAACAGATTTTAGGATTAGACTGTTGGAATGTGGGTTTGGAAATTCCCTGGGTAGGAAAAAACCCATGACTGAGGACTTAAGATTTTGGCACAGCCTGTATGCTAAAGAGATTTGTTTTCCCATGCGGGTTCTGTGACCTATTTTGTGGAAAATAAAGAATATACCCAATGCTCCAAAAGCATGTTTTTAATGTTTTTGCAAAAATCAGAGATGTTGAGGTGAAAAGTGCAGTAATAACAGGCTAGCTGTAAAGCACAACACAATGTGCCAGCCGCTCTTTTAACTCTTTCGGAACATGAGGACAGCAAGGTGTATTTTAAGGTACTCAATGAGTTTAGTGTGAATTGGAATAATAATAATAATAATAATAATAAAGTAAGTAAAGTAAAGTAAAGATCCCTTTTCACACCTTTTAGGCTCATCGGGTATATGGGACCAATCGACACTAGGTGAGTAATGTGGTCAGCATTAGGCCGTCTTTACTTCCCTAGGACAGCCATCCTGGTACCCATTTTAGGCTGGGTCAACCTGCGGTGCCCCATACGAATTGGAATTACGAGTCGGGATCGCAACATCTATGCCATGGATTATTCAGAATAATAATAATAATAAGAAGAAATTTTCACACACAATAACAGTAACCTAAAGCACCCACTTCCACACTTTGAGGTGTAATGGGCATATGATGCTAGCTCCACATTTAAAACCAATCAGCACTTGATAAGTGTCAATACTGCCCTAACTGTCGTTAACTCCCAGAACATTTTCTAACACCTGTTTAGACATCCAAGTCTTGATGGGGAATTCAAACACAGGACATCAGGTTTAACAGGCAAGTCTGCTGGCTACAGGGTCACTGCAGCTTACTTTTAACATACTTTCTGTAATGAGTCAGTTTTAGGGATTACTGTTAGAGGTTAGAGAAAGCAACAGTTTAAATAAATAATGGGTAGGCCAGATAGGAAAACCCTGACAAAGTAGGACAGGACTGTATTAGATGAAAGCAAGTTTCAGGACTGTATTAGATAAAAGCAGTTTCAGGAATATTAGATGAAAGCAAGTTTCAGGACTGTGTTAGATTACAGCAAGTTTCACAGGTTGATAGCAGGTCTGTGAGAAAGGGGACAAACACAGAAATTAAGCGAGAAAGGGAATAATATTAACTGAACACCTTATATGGACTCCTATCCTAGAAGAGCACTAGATGATTCATCATGTCTTGTATGGTCTGAGGACATTGTGCAGATTGTTCTGTTGAGCTGGGCCACCCTGCTGCATTAGACAAACAAGAACTTGTGCAAGAGATTGGCAGTGGGCTCAGTGCACCTTATTTTTATAGTCCCTGCTGTGTAGCATTGATATTCATGTATATCGACAGCATTCTGTCTCTTGTATTTTCAACTATTTCTAACACAGATGATCCTTCCTGCCATGGCACCAAACTGTCAACATCGTCTCTTTTGGTTTCCCTCTGCCCCTCTTCCAATTCAATTGTTCCACCGACATAACATACTCCAGTTTTCAACTTCTAGCAAGAAATATCAAACACAATTTTATATGGCAACAAAAAGTTGTGTCTAGGAAATAAATACAAATTGATTCTTTCATCTCATAAAAATTTGAATTAAAAAAAAATAATTCTAAGCAAAGAAGTTAATAAATAAATACAAATGTAGCAAAGAATTAGCAGCTTTCCTTCACTGTGACCATGATAAATGAAGTTTTGTTGACTTAGGTAAGGGGACCAAAAGATTATTATGATGTAACAATGACATCAAAAGTAAAATAATTAAAAAGAAATCTGTTATCCCCCCAAAATAATATCTTTTGTTTGTTTGTAAATATAATAATACCCTCTTCGTCTACATACTGCGCAGCTGTATCTAATACTAAAGCTGTTATACAGATGAAGTGGCCAGCCACTGCCCAAAGTTTCCAAGTTATCAAAAAAACTAAATTCTAGAAAAACTGCTTTCTCATGGTGACAGGGTTAATCTGACTTTCTACCCCACTAGGACATCACTGAGCAATAAACATTTGGTGACATAAAATACCACCATTCGGATGAGGATTACTCATGAGAGGTCCCAGAAACCCCATTCAATCGTTAGGTTATATTAGGGCCCCGGCAACAACTAGGGTGGGGTTTAAAAAAACCGAAAAACTGCTCCAACATAGGGACAGAGATTGAGGGTTCATCTTAAGGTGAAAGACATAAATCTCAAAGCACCATGAAGGTAAAGAAGAGGTCACAACTATATTATGTTGCTGGTGACTGAGCACCTACAAAACGTTCCTGTGTGTCTCCGTGGTGAAGTGGTCAAGCCATCTGCCTTGCACACTGAAGGTCTGGGTTCATTTCAAAGACTGCAAATTTAGTTCATGAATGCATTTTTCATGGAAATCCCTGGGGATAATTACTGGAGCAAGGGAGTTTGTGCTTTATGAGACACTTTTGGAAGAAGCAACCAACCTGATTTGGATGGACTTCTCCATAAGTGTCAACCATCTTCTGTTCATCTCACTGAGCCTGGCCTGCAACTGTTGAGAATCTGAAGTCACCATGGCTCGAGCTAGCTGATTTCCTGTGTGGTTGAGACTGTCCAAGGCTGGCTGGTGGGTGTCTAGTTGGGTGTGAAGGTCCTGCTTGGAGAAAAACAGTTCAGAGTATCAGCACAGGTTTATCACAGCAGGCCAAAGAACACCAGTAACCGACATAGAACTGGTGTTGTCAGTTGTTACACTCTGTCAGATACACTGAGGAGGGGATCCAAGCACTTATGGTTCAATGTATAGTGAAGAGCTGGTGTTTGTGACCTAGGGGTTATGAACATAGTTTGTAAATCTGAAATACTCAGCTTTATTTAGCTGCAAGCAAGTTGGCAGCAGACTGTTCTGTGTTGATTTCATCGACAGTATTCAGAGCCAACCATTCAGTAAACAATGGCAAACTACTGAACATGAAATTTCATAACAAAACCACAGACAAATGCTGAGCGTTGCACTGTTCAGTAAAGGATATGCAACTAACAGTGATGATATTCTTTGAACTTACTATCTAATTAATGCTTCCTCTTACTGGAGGGGAGGGCCATTCAACTCAGTTTACCCAGGAGCCAAAATGTTGGAGAATGGGGATCACAGCAGGCTTGAGGAGGCAGCACTAGCATAGAGACATCATTAAAGGAACACAACTGGCAGGTGATCTGCAGGCCACCTTGAATATCCCTGCTGTAGAGTACTGTAAGTATGTTTGTGAAAACTTGTCTGGTGTTGTATTTTCACAAACTCTCTTGTCTTAGCTATTATAACTGTCTTTGTCTCATCTTGCTTAGATGTCTTTAACTCATCTCATCTAACCTTTCTTTTTGTCTGTATCTCATCTAGCCTTTCTCCTTGTCTGTATCTCATCTAGCCTTTCTCATTGTCTGTATCTCATCTAGCCTTTCTCATTGTCTGTATCTCATCTCATCTAGCCTGTCTCCTCATCTATATCTCATCAAGCCTTTCTCCTTGTCTATATCTCATCTCATCTAGCCTTCCTCATCTATAATATCTCATCAAGCCTTTCTCCTTGTCTATATCTCATCATGCAGCATTGCTTCTATATGATCTCATCTCATCTGGCTTTTTTATTTATCTATATCTCATACCATCTAGCCTTTCTTCCTATGTATATCTCATCTGGCCATTCTGTTTTTTCTATATCTCATGCCTTTCTTCCTATGTATATCTCATCCTATCTGGCCTTTTTTACTGCCTTAATCTCATCTCATCTGGCCTTTTCCTTGTTATATGTAATATCATCAAGCCTTTCTCCTTGTCTTTACCTCATTTCATCTAGCCATGAATATGTTGATATATTACCATAAAATATTGATATATAAAATACAACAGCTCATGTGAAAGACGAGTGTTTGAAAGGATGGAATATAAGATGGGCATGAATACCTAATTTGTGACCCTTTGGGGAAAAAAGGTAGTTCATTTATTCATTAACCTTTCTCATGTCATACAGTTATTTATACCAGCTCATCTAGCCTTTCTTCTTGTCTGGAAGTCTTTATCTCATCTGACAATTCTCTTTGTCTAGATGACATGTCAATATCATCCTGCCACTAATTTTGACTAGACAACATCTCGTGCTGTCATTCTGACCCTCATCTTGATTAGACTTGCTGTAATGCCAAGAAGCTAATTCTTTGTATCCCTCTTCTAGAGGGACATAAGGCAAACATATGTGTGGGGGAGAGGCAGGTAGATAAATGATGCAAGTGTCTTTGATGTACAAACACGCAGAGTTAGAGAGAAAAAAAAAGTGGGGCAAGGGGGTGGGGGGGAAGAAACTAGTGAGAGAGAAAAAATGAGAGAGAAAGAGAGAGAGAGAGAGAGAGAGAGAGAGAGAGAGAGAGAGAGAGAGAGAGAGAGAGAGAGAGAGAGAGAGAAAGAGAGAGAAAGAGAGTGTAGTAGAGAAAGACTGATGGTAGGAACAGGAAGTTCTACAAGGCTGGAATGGGTTTAGATTTGGGAATTAGAATACTGTTACCTATGCAGTAAATCAAGTTATTGTAGTTAGTACAGGAACCTGTTTCATGCCTTCAGTCTCATTAGGCATATAGGGCTAGACCTATATTTTACAGACCAAGCGGCTATCTGTGGGTGATGTGGTTAACATAGCGCTGGCCACCTTTACTTTTCAGGACTCTACCTGGTACTTATTTTAGGCTAAGTCGACCTGGGAGCCAAGGTCAGTTTTGTCCGGCTCCATCAGTACCTGAACCCACTACCTTAGAATCAACAGGCGAGCGTCTAGTTGCTAGACCACGGCTAGTTGTTATCAAATTTAAACGGCGTTAAAGTGTATGGTTAGGCATCGGCAAAGAAATCAACATCAACATTCTGAGAACACCCATCTTCATAGTAGCAACATGTGATTCGTAGACTATCTCGCAGTCATTCAGGAAGAAAGTAGGGGCTTTAGAACTGAAATACTGTAGAAGGATTCTTGGAATGAAACAAGAAGGAAAACAAATACTGACAGAATAAAAGATTTAAACCTCAAGGAAGCTTATCTAGTAAATAGCATCTTGTCTTGGAAACTGAAAGTGTTAAAGTCGGTTAAAGTCCATATAATTGACTTTACTGCACTGGCTTTTTATCCCATATGGTTTGGTCTCTCTCGGCAGAACAGTTAGCCGCCTGTCGAGAGCGCCACATAGAGCACGAACTCCTTAGCTCCAGCGACGACCTCCCAAGGGTCTCTGTAAACACTGCCCTTGTGAAGTGAACGGCGCAGCTGTGAAACGAACCCACAACCTTCAGAGCACAAGGCAAACGGCTTGACCACTTCGCCATAGAGACAGCCATATCAAAAGCCAGGGCTGACTGGAAAGAATAATATCAGAATGCATGATATCAGCAAAGAGGGGCAGGGGCCGACCAGCACGAAGGTGGATACGGGATTTAGGTGACACCTTGAAAGGAAAATACTAGGCGAGAGAGCTGGCGAGAGACCGAGTCTCTTTCAAACAGACCGCAATGAGAGCGACGTTCTGTAAAGGACCTGCTACATGATGATGATGATGTTGCTATCCAACAACACTCTAATTTAACCCATTATCATGTAGATTAGTGGTCAGAAGCCCCTTTCCATTTGACGCTCGCCTGAAGCATATTACAAATACCCTAAACCTTCCTCACCCCCAAATACCCGTATATAGCAGCCCCCACCCCATTTTTCCCGGTATATGACCAGACATTCCACCACACCCGTCCCCCCCCCCCCCTCCCATTTTTCATTACCATAATAAAATGTAAAAAAAAAAAAAAAAAAGACAACAAGAAAATTCACAAGTACGTTTAGCAAGAACCTGGGTAAAAACATGCACATAATTCAAACTGTCAAACCAAAGAAACTACCACAATAACTGGTAATGTGGTGTCCAATATAATTGTAATGATTGACACTGTTGTGTCTTGATGATATCTGCTAGTTCGGTGTGATAGTGGGCAAGGATCAATGGAGATCACACTCCGCGACAAGCTGGTAGCGCTGCTTTGTTTTCATGACCATTACACTGGAAAATTCGAATCATTAGTAGCACAAATGCACTCAATTTCAAAACTGCTTGCGGCACTCCTTGAAACTTCTCGTCCCCACCGCCCAGGTTGGAGAACACCGATGTAGATACATGCAAATGTTGAGTAATGAATGTGTTGTTTTACATCGAGGGAATAAAGACTTTCTCTTACCATGTCTTCGTGTGTGTGTGTGTGTGTGGTGTGGTTTGTGTGGTGTGGTGTGTGTGGTGTGGTGTGGTGTGTGTGTGTGTGTGTGTGTGAGTGTGTGTGTGTATGTGTGTGTTTGTGTGTGTGTGTGTGGGGAAAAAAAAAAGGGGGGGGGGGTGGTCAAAAAAGGACCAAGGACATGTCGGTGACTTCAACAAGAGATAAGCATCGATAGGCAGGACCCAGTGAGTGCGACTGGGTCAAGGTTTGTGTGATGGGACAGCTAGGGATATGGATTATCTGACGGAGACGTACAGAACTGCAAATAGACTGACCGACAGGCAGACATACGGACAGCAAGGTAGACAGACCATCGACAGAGACGTTTATGCATGCAAATAGACTGGCTGACTGAAGGACGGACAGAAAAACAGATAGTTGGGTAGATAGCTCATGGACAGAAACGTACACAGACAGACCGTCAACAGTGATGGAAAGACAGCAAAACATGTTGATCGACAGAATAAAGGACCGACAGACCGACCAGGTAGCCATAAACGTCCTGGCTCGTGGACTATGCTACGATTAATCCTGCTGCTGTGGCGCACTAGCTAGACACGAGCTTGCCGTCAGAGGTCCTGAGTTCGAACCATCATCTGGCCGATTTTTATAAATTACCTAGGGCCCCCAGGCTGACTCTGCCTCAAAGGTTACATGGGATTGCTCTTGGAAGTAAACGCGGCCGGTGTAATATTGACCACATAGCACATCGAGAGCCTATTAGTCTACATAAATATGTGTCTATTACCATAAGCCTTTATGCAGACTAAAGTCAGGGCACAACAGGCTTCATCAACATATGTTCAAACTTTTCCGTGTAGGAAAAACGGAGACGCGTCCCTGCAGCCTGGCACCCGAAACTTCTGAGCACGTGCTCCAAAACTGTCAACTGTATGCTGCTAACAGAGACGCAATCTGGCCTGTTCCAACCATAATGAAGACAAAGCTGTATGGTACACGAGAGGTTATGGACTGTACGATTGCTTTCATAAAGGCTACCGGCCTCCTGATATAATGTTTCGGACAGAAGGATCGAAGAAGAAGAAGACAATAAGCCCGATGCTCGAATAGCATGAAAATCATCATTTATTTATTGTTTTTTTTTTAAACGCTGTTAACCATATCTGACGGCTGCCTTGTGCATTTATTTTGTGTGTGCGACGGAACAATGAAGGACATTTTGTGTGATTTCCATTGACATAGAAACGGAGCAGTTTTGGGGTGACCCATCTGCAGGGGTTAAAACTTCGACTGACGACTAACCCCCATGGTAGCATACTGGAACTATTACGGGCATAGGTGTCTAATGAAAATGACCTCTTACAGATAAACTTGACGAGAACCCAGGCTCGCTG